TGGGCTACCCTTTTACCAACGAATAGTGGGATTGATCGTCAAATTTTATAGCTCCCACGGCTGAAAGAACGAGCATGTTTGGTGGGACGGGAATTCGAACCCGCGTATTGCGAGTTCAGTGCTCCTAACCATGTGGCCAAGCCTGGATGAAGGGAATGGATCCTCTCACTACAAGCTCTGTCAGTGTGACCATGTTCATAACCACAAAGTAACCATCAAGGTTTACATACTATATCTCGCAACACTATACACTTGTTTATATTTAAGTTTGTTATTTTATTGCTCTTTGAACCATGTCTAACCAAGAATCCCGCCACACAAGTTATAAATCACTCGGTGAACGTGCAGCTTGCGCTACTGTAGCGAGTTTAGTAACGCACAAGCTGTTTGCGAGTATACCTCGTGAAGGATATTTATTGTTATTATTCATTATCTTATCTAACGTAATAAGTTGCTAATTTTGTATTTTAGTTACTTTTGTAACAATAGATAAAGAATACACATGAAAAACAAGAAATGTAGTCAGTGATGTAGTGGTAAAATTATTTGTGCTAGAACATATAATTGTATAATGGTTTTGTGTAATTGGTAAAATGCAAAATCCTAAACACTTCTTATATTTGACTTATGTTCTAAACATTTCCTAATTAAAATATGACCTAAAATCAAGCATACATTTTACCTTCTTTTCATTTATGCATTGCTTCTATGTAAATAAATTAGTTTGTTTGTTTTTTAGTTTCGCGCAAAGCTAAACGAGGCTATCTGCGCTAGCCGTTCCTAATTTAGCAGTGTAAGACTAGAGGGAAGGCAGCTAGTCATTACCACACACCGCCAACTCTTGGGCTACTCTTTTACCAACGAATAGTGGGATTGACCGTCACATTATAATGCCCCACGGCTGAAAGGGCGAGCATGTTGGTGGAAGGGGGATTCGAACCCGTGGCTTGTGAGTCGAGCACCCTAACCACCTGGCCATGCCAGGCCAATAAATTAGTAAAATTAGTCCTAGTGTATTATAAACGTGATAGTCAAATCCCACTATTCCATTAAAGTAACCCAGGAGTTAGCAGCAGGTGCTGCTTACTGCCCTTTTTTTCAAGAGTACTCAAACATGAAACATTTTAAAATACAATAATTTATACTGGTTAGTGTGATGAATAATGTTTTTTTTAAGGTTCGTGGTTTACATTCCGTTGCAACAAAGTCGTACTTCATACTTTGGGGGCGTGTGTGCGTTATAAGAGTGGCAGTTAGATCTCCCAGTTTAATTAGAGTAGCCTGAGAGTTAGCACTGGATGATACTGACTAGCTGCTTCTTCTCTAGTCTATCAATTGTACTTTATAGAAGTGACAGTCAAATACCACTATTCAATTAGAAGAGACCAAGGGTTAGCATTGGGTGCTGTTGACTAGCTGCCTTCCATCTAGTCTATCCTTTCAACACTAGAGATGGCTAGCACAGATAGTCCATGTGTGTGTGTAAATATGTGTCAAATATCAGAAACAAATAATCTTCTTTACCAAGACACATTATTTTCTGTTATCATGTTTCACAAAACTCTCTTCTATTAAATTTTATTCTTTAGTGTAGTGTTTCTCAACCAATGTGCCATCAGACCTGAACAAGTGTGCCTTAGAGTTTTAGAAAAGTCACACATGAGAAAAATGAATAAATGACATGTACCTTTTATATAAATTAGTTTTGTGAACAGAATCAGAGTGTGTGTTCTATGTTGTTGCTTTTTTGCTGTAGAGGCAAGGTATGTTACATCACTCTATGCACTAAAGACCTTGTTGTTCACGTGGTAATAACAGCCGTGTGTTTGGCGAATTTTTATAAGATGATTGAGGGGGTGGGGTCACATAACATTTTTATTAAAGTGTGTCTTGGGCTGGAAAAGGTTGGAATACTGCTTTAGTACACCAAATGAAGCCATCCAACTTTACACATTCTAAAGGGAAATTTGTTTCTTATATTTTATAGTACATACTATAGCAAATTTCTATTAACATTATACACTCGATTATTTAACAATTGTCTGTTCTTCAAGCACCTCAAATATTACGAAAATACAAATAGAAACTAACGAGTATTCTAGCTTGTTCAGTCTAATTATTGTTCATGTAGTAATGTATTTTTTAAATTGGTGTTAAAATCGTTTTGAGGACAAGTTCGAGATAAGGAAGGAGAGAGTTATGGTATTTGCATACTGCATATCTTGCTCTATTATATTATATACTTCATATCTACAAAAAGTGTTAACTTTTCTATATTTTCTTTTGAAACATACTACATCCAGTTGAGGTCATTGTTTAATTTAGCCTGAGTCAGTGCTTTCTGTAGCAGTATCTGATCACATAAGTTATTAACTGTTTCATGTGCTAGTTGTTTCGCATTCCACTTTACTTCGTGTGGTATAAAGGATTGCTTTACAACAGTCACGTGATTGGTTAGCTACAAAGAGAGTATGGATTGTGAACTTTTTGCTTTTTTAAGGCAATCTCCTTTCTGTCTTTAAAAAAGAAGGGACTTGTTTCTGGTAAATTGCAATAGATTATATTTGAGTGTGGAAATAAATTTGTGGCTATATCTAAGAAATATCACTTACAGGATAAAGATAGTCATCTCCAGCTTTGGTTCTGATAGAGAAATTTTGGGGATGAACGTAATGTGGAAACTATTGATCAATTTTACTTGTGCAAGAGATGAACTTATGTTATATTGGAAAGTTGTCCAATATCAGTCAAACCAAATCCAGGAACAGTGAACTGCATGAAAGTGTATGTGGGAGAGATAATAACAGTATCTTTATATTTTTTTATGGTTCCATGGTATTCTATGAATGAGGTACAATGCATCAGTACCATGTTTTGTGGTTATAGAACCCACACATAAAATGTAATGTTTCCTGTCCAGAAAGCAAGCAGCATTAGTTCAGGTAGTTATCTGTTTGGGAAGGGATGAAGTACCAGAGCTGTTCTGCAATTATGGGTGAACTTTTATCCAGCTTCATGCTGGAATTGCCAAAAATACAGTTACTGAAATAAAAGTAACCATGGCTAGTGGTGACACTAGGGTTGCATCAGTTGCATTACATCTGACATGAGTGCACAGCTGCTAACAAATTTGGGAACATTGGCCTGTGACTATGCAAACAATCTTAAACACAGTTACAACAAGTCAGTGACTACATACATGCATCTAAGAGAAAACACAGTTTTATTCGGTGTTTTCTCATAAGATTGAATACGAATGTTCATGAATGGATGAAATTATTAGTGTTAAATTTATAACAGTAGCTTAGACATCATATCAACATAAGCTTGGCTTATCCAGTGTCTTATTTGATTATGATAATATTTTGAAGCATGCAGGCTGAAATATTTTGTAAGCATACAGTTTCCTGAATATTTTCTTGACATTATTTCAGTGTAAGGTGTAGATAAGATGCAGGCTGTGAGTATAAAGCCAGAAGCAGAAAGTAACACCTGTAGGGCAGCATATTATAACTTCAACATTGCTAGTACGAAACTTGTATCTGGAAGAAAGCTCCAAGGGAAAGATGATGAAAATGTTAGTAGGTTCTAACAGTAAACATAGAGATTGACACTTATACAGCAGTTAGCTCCAATCAGCTATTATGTGTAGGGACCAAATATTTACAGTTTCAATATATCTCCTTTTCTACTAAACCTGATCATTGTAAATGTGACAACCAAATTGTATTGAAAGAAAATCACCTGGGTTGGAGTGTAAGTTGTGTTTAATGTTGTCTGGCTGGGGAAAACAGTGAAAAACACAGCTACAGGTATTGATGAAGTAGAAAGCTTTGGAGGGACTGAGAAGTTCATAGGTGTTATGTATACATTTTCTACAGGTGTTAAAGTCATGAGTACACATGAAACTTGTAGACATTTCGCTTGACCAACAAACTAATTTTAGCATTATGCCTCTAAAATTAATTTTAAGGCAGAGCATGGTTGTAACCATACAATTATGACTCTTTTTTTTTTTTACAATTTCTGAACAATCAGGATTTGTCTGACCATATGCTTTCAATTTGGACATATTTCCATCCTTAACTCTATGGGGCTAGGTTTACCATCAGGACAGACCATGCTGCATGACGCTGGTTAAGATCATTAAAGAACCCAGCGGGACAACTAGCAAATTGGATCAGAAAGATAGACCAGTTTAATTATGATATTGAATACAGAGAAGGCAAATCTCATGGAAATGCCAACGCACTGAGCTGAAGACCCTGCAAAAATGACTGCAGACATTGCTGCAAAAGAGAGATTGAATTAACCAGGTGCCATCAAGCTGAAGTCAAAGTGACTGAAGGAGTCGATGATGGTGAAGTGAAACCAAGTATATATATTAAAGCAGAACAGGAAAAAGACCAAGATTTGAAGCCAATAATTGATTTTCTAAAAGCAAGTGTTTTCGCCCTGCTTGGGAGAAGGCGTCTATCTTAAGCCCTGTGACAAAGAACTATTGGGCACAATGAGACCAGTTGAAGCTTGAAGATGGTAGTCTTCTCCGGAGATGCGAAAGTGACGACCTGGCAAACAGTTATACCGAGAAAGTTACAGGAAGTTATGCTGCATCAATAACATGATAGTTTAACAGGAGGACATCTTGGAGTTAAGAAAACATTGAGTCACATACAACAGATATTTTTCTTAAACTGTTAACATTTCATGCGTGTACAGATACTAAAGGAGCGATAAATGATATAAAAACAAACGGATTGTTTGGTTTAGACAAGTTTTATTTTCTTTGTTTTCTAAATGTTATGTTAGATTGAATAATCATATACAAATAAAACATTCGAAGCTCGTTCAAGTGTATGTTCATGAACACAACCAGTAAAATGATTCTGTTGAGAAGTTCTTCACTAGTTTTTCAAGTGCTGACCATCAAGAGGTTAATTTGCTGCTGTGTTAACCATGTAAGATAACATCATTCTTACACAGTCGAGTAGATATAATGCACAATGTAGATCTTATAAAAGAAATCTATGTTTTTGGTTAGTCTTTTTCAGAGAAATTGTTTGTTTGTTTTTAATTATGCACAAAGCTACACAAGGGCTATCTGTGCTCTGCCCACCACGGGTATCGAAACCCGGTTTCTAGCGTTGTAAGTCCGCAGACATACCGTTGTGCCACTGGGGGGCATTTTCAGAGAAATAACCAAATGATTAAAACTTTAATCACGTTACACAGTCCAACAGAGTACCCAGTTAATTAATATCCTAAATATGCTAGTTAATCCTTACTGGATGCTACGTGCTTATAAAATAAGGGTCCAATTCAACAAATAAATATTTAAGTATGGCAATTCTTCTACACCATTTCCTTTAATATGAAAATTAGAACAGCCAATAGAAATCCAGTTATTCATTAAATTACAAAAAAACAACATTTATTTGATTTAATGCATGTTATTATTCTGAGTTCAAACATTATCAAGGTAAATGATGTATCACAAAAAAAAATATTTGTAGCCTCAGCAACATGTTTATATGCTGGATTTTTATTTCAATAGTGATTTTACATGACCATTTTCTGTTATAATCAAGTCATGGTTATTGATAGATTTTCCATTTTACAAAGTCTGAGAAACGATTATATATATATATGTAATTTTTTTTTTCGTTAAAAACCTAATACATTAACAGAAATTTCAAACAATCAATACCATCCAGAGCACTGTCTTTATTAATAGGTCTAGTTAAATATATCAGATAACATATTGAATTCTCCTTAGTTTATAGGTGTATAAGACTCTGACTTAGCTGCACATTATCATATATATTGCCCTCATGAACATTTCTTAAGTATCAGGCTTGGGCTTGAAAATAACAAGTAGCCCACACTTACGAATAATGAAGGTTATTAGAATAACCACGATAAAATGCAGGGATTCAATAATTAATATCATACTACTTATTCTACCACAACAATGTGGATAAAAAAAAACATGATTATTAGAGTTCAACTATTGAAAATTAAACACCTTTTATGTCTAAAAATTTAACTGATGGTAACACTGTTCGACATTTGTAAAAGGTTTCATATTACATCAGTCTAATTCAACTTGCTATATCTAAAACATGCAACAAACAAGACATCCTGTAACAAGTGCTACTTTTGCTGCATATTGTAAATAGATATTGATAGTCTTGGGTAGTAAATTCTTTTCCTTCCTTGAACAAATGACATTTAACCTAACATCATACTGGGAAAAACAACTACAAAGAAAATTACCAGTAGTCTCACCATTAAAAAAAATTTTAATCTTCTGTTTTTTCTATACTAGTTTCAGTGAATCTAAAGTTTATGAAACAAGTTATAAAGATTAACCTTGTTATGAAACTTTTATTTACAAACAATACTGACCTTCTGTGAGCTGCTGATGTTGAATATTTAGGATTGTTACACTAGTTAAAAAGAATACCTTACTTTATTTCTTTAAGTATTTATAGTCCCCAGTAAAAGCTTTGCAGTGCAAATTGACTAAATCCTACAAATTTGAAACAATAAGTAGTCTGTCTTGAAGCACTCAAAAAATAAGTCCTTCAGGGAACTCCAATAGTTCTGTAAATGGAAGTGAAAGGACTGTTCAACTTAACTACAAGGATGCTTAAGTGAGAAATGCTAGCCACATATTTTTCCATTATATGACCAGCTTTGTACTTAAAAAAAAATATCTAATTTTGAAACGTGGATGTAATAAAGACAGAAGAATGACAACATTTGGATGCTGTTTGATATTTTTCATGATGCACTTACCAGTTTTCCATCAGAAATCTTTATTAATAATAAGTTTTGGTGGTCACTACAGTAACAAAACAGGTTCTGAAATTTCTTAAATATAGGTTAAACCGTTGAGGCAAATCCCTAAGGTAAATGTGCCCCAATTTTTGAGGAGATGGGGCAAAGTATCATATGAACCTTCTCTCTTTATAAGATCATAAGTTGTATTGAGTTCATGTTGTGGAATATGAAAATAAAACTTAAAATTTTTCTTCATTTAATCTCTTTACATTGCAAATATGGTCACACACACATATATATATATATATATATATATATACTATATTGGCTCGATTATAAGGTGATGCTTTTGATTAATAATTAGGTTGTAAAATTCATAGTCGCCTTATAATTATGGCTGACCACAGGCCCCTTTCCCCTATTCTAACCTGTTGCATTGCTGGATGTCCAGATAGCATCCATCTACACATGTGCACCAGATGTTTGCTCAAAGCCATTGGTAATTCTTGTAACTAATCCACCTGCACACTGTTCAGTTATAGTACTGATCTTTCAGACCTAAAAAAAGATGTTATGACACTCAATTTGTTTCCCCATGGTTTCTGAAAATGGGGTCACCTTATATTCAAGATCATCCTATAATCGGGACAATATGGTATATTGTTTGTGTGTGTGTGTCATTGTGTTAATGTGCATATCCAGGTTTCATTTCTATTTAAACCTTCCCCCCCTTTTATTAGCAATTTGCATCCTTGGATTACACATTAAAATACGTTGTATACTATGGTACCATAACATTTGACAGTTGGATAAAGTAACTTTGTCCTTTATCTTGCTTAGCAACTTTTTTTTTTAAACTAAATCAACTCAGTATCATTTAAATATCTCAAATTTATATGGCATTGAAATGTGACTAATATATAGTAGAATACAAACGTGTAGATAACATATTATATTTCGGCCTATATCTTATGAAGCTATAGTTCTCTTGTTCAATGTAAACTTCATGTTACTTTTAGCCAACTCCTTATTTTGTGTAAAGCAAATATAAAATAATTTAATAACCACAAATTTCCTTTTGAACTACAACACAAGAACTTTCTATATATAATGCATACTTAGCTTAATTAGTTTTTCTTAACCAATTAATACATGTTTAAGAAACCTAACTAACTTTAAAGATACTAATACATAAGTTATCTTTCTCTTTTCGGAGATTTACTAGCTTCATCTTTTGCCTTCTGAAGTATATCTTTGCTTTCTTTTGGTTTGTCACTGCTCTCTGATGTAGGGTTAGGGGGTTTGCTTTTATACTGTTTATTGTCCAACTGATTCTGTTGAAGGGCATAGTAAGCACGAGTTAAGTGTCTGATTTCTGCTTCTTGTCTATCAACAGTAAATCTGAGGTCATTTATCTCATTTTCTAAATTTATAAAATTTCTTTCTCTTTCAGCTTCCTTCTCCTTCTCCTTTAAAGAAGACCTTATATATTCTGCTGTGATAGATGCTGCAGCAATAGAAAAGATAATTACTTCACCTAAAAGTTCAGCTCCAAGATCAATGGCCATGTTTTCATTTAGCTTTGGCACTTCTGTTGGTTTTCCGAGATTCAACATTCTCATTTTGACATTAACTTCCATCCAGTGATACACTTCAGAGAGAAAAAATGTTAATAACTAAAAAAAAACAAGATTTCACTTAGTTAATTTTCTATTTAATAATCTTTAATTGCTGGAGTAGGGAAATTAAAATAAGCCTAACTATTTAAAATGTTCACTAAAATAATACTACGTCTTGTTTTGGTTTAAGTATAATTATCAATAAACAAAATGAAGAAAAAATAAGATGTAGAGAAAAGTATAGTGCAGGAACAAAGTACAGAAGTAGTTTTAAGGATAGGCTAAAGTCTTGTTATTCTAATGCTACAAGTATAAGAAACAAAATAGAAGACATTAGAGTACTGAAGCTATCTGTGCTGTGCCCACCATGAGTTTCAAAACACAATTTTTAGCATCATAAGCCTTCAGACTTACAACTGAGAAATTTTGATGACAAGAATTTCTTTGAAATGCAGGGTTATTGGTTATTTAATAGGGATAAGGTACTAAAATTTGTATAAAAAAAGGGGGTGGGGCTTTATATGTAAAATGTGAATTACATCCTGTTCAAGTTGAGAATATCAAAGCTAATAGTAATGAAGTTTCTGTTAGTGGTTATAGGGGCAGAAAGCTTTTAGTAAGAATTTGTTACAGACCAACAGATGAAACTTATGAAATTAATGAGAAACTTTATAATGAGATAAAGAATACAGATGCTAATCATGGTGAATTTGAATTTCAGGCAAATAGGTTGTGAAATGTTAAAAGTCAAACTATGAGAGAGACAGGTTTTTAGAAACTGTTCAGGTGGTTTTCTTCATGAACTGGTCAGGGAACCTGCTATGAATAATAACATTTTATATTTATTGCTAATTTCTAATTTAGAAATGGTTGATAGGGTAGAGGTTAGAAAACAGCTGGGTACAAGTGATCATTGCTCCATTATGTTTGATATTTTGCTGTATAAAGAGACAAGGAATAATCAGATTTTGGTTACAAATTTCAAAAAAGTAAATTCTGAAGAGATGAAATAAGAATTATCTGTTGTTGATTGGGCAACTTAATTAACTGAAGATACTGATAAAATGTGGAAAAATTTTTAAATAAATATTTTAAACATACAAGATAAACATGGCCCTTATAGAAAGAAGAAAAAATGTGGATTCAAGTAAAAACCAGGTTAGCTCACAAAGGATAAAATGAAAGAAAAGTGCTTGACTACCAAGAAAGGAGACTTAAAGGACTGTAGAAGATCAAAAGAGTTGGTCAAATGGGAAATTAGGAGAGTGGAAAAACTATATGGAAAAAAAAGGTTGGCCTAAAATTTACAAAATTAACAGAAAGAATTTCTTTAAATACAAAATGTTAGGATGGGAGTAGGGCCTTTGAAGGATGACACAGGAAAGCTCATATCTGATTATAAAATGGCTGGGTTATTAAATTATATTTTTTTCTTCAATTTTAACTAATGAAAATTTAAGTAATATTCCTCATCTTGAACTACTGTCAGATGAAATAAGCTTGAACAAGATAATCATATTACTTCTGAGCTTGTTAAGGAAAAATTGGAAAGTTTAAGAATGATAAAGCTCATGGACCAGCTAATATTTGCCCAAGCATTCTGAAGGAGGTTAAGGATTAGATGCGAGGCATATGGTACTATTTTTTGTAAGTCCTTCAATATTAGACAGGTGCTCAAAGTTTGAAAGCTGGCAAATGTTACTACTCTTTTCAAGAGAGGTAATAAAAATTGTCCCAGTAATCACAGGACTATTAGTCTTACATCAGTTGTAGAAAACGTTTTTGAAAGTCTGATAAAAGATGCTTTACAAAGTCATTTAAGAAAGTTTAAATTTTGGATGGTCAACATGGTTTTACTAGAGAAAAATCTTGCTTATTAATATTTTGGCATTCTTTGAAGAGGCTACTGCTAAACTAGATGAGGGTACTGGTGTGGTTTTCATGTATCTTGATTCTAAGAAAACACTTGACAAGATGCCAAATAAAAGGCTTGTTAAAAAAATATCTTTGTAAGTGTGGAGGAAAGGTTGGCTCATTGGATACAAAAGTGGCTGGATTGAATAGAGCAGAGGGCTGTTGTGCATGGAGTTCAGTCAAACTGGATTAATGACATAAGTGGGATACCTCAAATCTAAGTGTTAGGACTTTTGCTCTTTTCGATTTTCATACGAATGTTCAATAAATTAATTAAAATTTCCTGATGCTTTATTTGGTGAGTTGGAAAATAAATGGCAGATAGCTTTTAATTATAATAAGTGTCTGGTAATGCATATGGGATATCATGATTTGAATTAATGGTATAATTTTTATGAGAAAAACCTTAACAATAAAAGTGTTAAGAAAGGAAAGGATTTTGGTGTTTTGATTGATCAGTCAATTAGTATTAAGCCATCCATGCAATGTGCTGTTGCAAGTGGTAGGGCAAATAGGATTTTAGGTTGTATCTAAAGAAATATTGAACACAACTGTAAGTTATAACACTGTAACTTAAGAGGACAGGTTAAAATCTGTAACCAGTTTTCTCTAGAATGAAAACGTAATCTCCTTAAACTTATATGAAACCTTCCCAACCCAGATATCATCCTTGCACAGTGTAGCCCTCCTCTGAACCTTTTACAACCATTAAATAATTGTAATTGATCTTAAAAGACTAAAAAGTGGAAAAAATGCCTACAAAATGCAATGAAAAAGGAAAAAATCACATTCCCAAACTTTGGATTTGAAACACGCTCACCGATGTAACATGATTCTGTTCAACAAATTCAGTACATTGTTATTTACTTATTGTGAACATATTCGAATGAAAACTGAATTTTACGTTAAATCTTTTATAGTAACAGACTTACATTGAGCAGGTGGCATACAAATATAGGTGCGAAAAAAATAACTTCGTTTAGCCCTAGCTTTAATCCGACTTGCCAACGGCTTTGATAATTGCCGCACTGCTAGAATTCCCAATTTTGCAATTGGAAAGGCACCGACAACCATCTTTGCAGATTTTATTTCTTAAAATTCCATGTTAAATGAATTGCAACATAGATACTTTTACAATTCAATGTATTTCTATATTCTATATCGTTCGGTGTACTTCTCATAAACACTTGCATCGCACGCCACCTGTAAAGAAAGTTGAGCAGAAATTATCGACATAATAATTTTAGTTGTAATTATATTCATATATGTTTACTTGATTTCTTAAAGAGGCTTCTGCTACAAGTTTTGACAAAATAAAAACTTGAAAATTCACACGTAGGCTTTTGATCCCCACATAATATGAACAAGGAAGATTTGAAAAAAACTGTGAAAGTATTAAAATAAATGGGGTTCAAGGTATTTTTAGCTCTCAGATTTAGTTTGATTGTTGTTAAGCGCAAAACTACACTATAGGCTATCTGTGCTTTTACCACCACGAGTATCAAAACTCGATTTTTAGAGTCAAAAGCCTACAGACTTACCGCTGAGCCAGTGGGCTCAGGAAGGGGGGAGCTCTCAGATTTGACTGAACTTAAACTTAACAAGATATTCAAAACAATAATCTAGATTCAGATTTTGGAAATTTTCAAATTCGAGTCTCCATGTAGGGAGTGTTTGTTTTGTTACGACAGCGGAAGTCACGCGACGCTCGGAGCATGCGCGCTGGAGTTTCTAGAAGGATCATGACTTTTTCCGGTACGATTTGTTTCCGAGGAACTTCAGCGATACAAGTCCTTTCTTAATTAAAACTAGTTTATTCTTTCTTGATACAACTTTTTTGTAATACACATAATTTCCACAGTCACTTTAAATTTAACAACCTTTATAACACACGCTAAAAATCACAGTGATTCACACATTTTACTTACGGTGCCTACTGTTCGGTTGACTCAATTATCTATCTCTTCACTCTATATGCATATCTCTTCTCTCGCTGGCTTTATTTGCCGGGCGTATATACTAAAAAAGAGGGCGCCTGGCAAACACGCGGACATTCGCGAGGTTCCTCACTTAACAAACGAGCAGATACGTAACAGTACTCAATAGGCATAATACAAATATACACAGTAAAAATCGACAATGACAGAGAGTTTTACTTTAAAATATGACTGCCACTCACTTTCATTTGTTTCTCTACCCAACAAGCCCCAAAACAAAGCAAGAAGCCATCGCTAAGATACCAAACCAGAAAGTGACCAACCCACCAAATTATTCATGTACTTGTTTCAGTCGAGATAACTTTACAACTGCTTTACTGCTAACGTTACTTTCAACCTAAATCCATTTTATGTGTTTCTGGGCAGTGCAAGGTGTCATCGCTTAGTCATTATAACTAGTAGTAATTTAAAAAATAGCAACATAATTCTAGTGTAAACGATGTTATCATTACCCCTTTAAGTTATATTTTTTACAGAAATCTGGTGTTCCTTTAAAAAGCTTAAGTTCAGGGTAAAACAGGATTTATCAGCCAATGATAGATGAACTTTAGATGACTGTAACTTGTAGAATACTCAATGCTTTTTACACCATACAATTTTGTCAATATAGCCAACCCCTATATTATGTATGAAGTGAAGGAGTAAAAAAAACAATACATTTATTATTACATTTATTATACACATTTATGGAATACGTTAACTTTCAGTTAGGGGGAGAAAGTCACAAAACAAGTAATCAAAAATATTTTGTAAATGTTAAATACACATATTATTACATTTTATTATACACATTTATAGAATACTGTTACGTCTCTATTAGTTTGTTAATTTCCCGTAGAAATTCTTCCCGAGAAATTTCAGTGATACAAGTCCTTTCTTAAATAAAACCAGTTTATTCTTTCTCAATACAACTTTGCGGTACACTTAATTTCCACAGTTACTTTAACTTCAACACACGCTATAATTCACAACGAATGATTCACGCACAGCTTACTTACTACCACGCTTGACTCAATTGTCTGTCTCTATCTCTGCCTGTCTGCAATTCTATTCGATTCATTGTCTGGCGCACATATATACAAGAATAGAGAGCGCCTAGCAAATACTGGATTATTCGTGATGTTCCCGGATCTTTCTAGAACTCATTACGTGTTACCAGCGTCACGTGACTTCCGCTGTCGTAACAATACCTTAACTTTCAGTTTGGGGGAAAAAGTCACAAAACAAGTAATAAAAAACATTTTGTTAATGTTAGATACACATATTATTATATTTTATTATACACATTTATAAAATACGTTAACTTTCAGTTAGGGGGGAAAAGTCACAAAACAAGTAATAAAAACATTTTTAAATGTTACATAATGTAGGGATGGCAGAGCCATAAAGAATGCAGGGATGACACAGCTATACGTAGGTCATCCCTACATGACTTTCAATATTGAATTTTAATATAACACTTACAATGTACCCTTGACTTTAATATTACTGCAGAGTTGGAAGTAATATATTCTGACTGTTGGTATGCACTTTGTATATCATAATATCATGGCCATGTCAGGTTAGGTATCAATGTAGTGTAACTAAGAGCCTAGGACTTATGTACAAGGAAAACCAAGTTGGGTTAAAATGTCTTGATTACAGACTAGTACAGATTCTTGCTACGAAGTCAGTCGAATTGACCGACCTCGTAACCATTTTGTACTCGTGTTTTTTACAGTGTAACATTAGATTTTAATATTGAAAATCATGTAGGGATGATCTACGTATAGCTGTATCATCCCTATATTTTTGTTTGTATTATTTTTGGCACTATAATCCATACATCATTTTACATTTACAAAATGTTTCTTAGTACTTGTATGACGAAAATATTCACTTTTCACTTTCTTTTTTTTTTCATCACAGAGAAAAAATAGATTGACAGTCGAGGCCAAAGTCGGTTAATTTCTTGTCGTTCTGAAGATGCTTCTCATATTTGGTTTGAACTTATGTACGTTAAAGTGCCAGGAATCTGCTGTGTTAATAATGTTTTATACGTCTCAGAACTGTATGTGTTATTTTTTATGTAACAGAGGAAAGGGGTAACAAGTTGCCCAAGTGGTGGCTTACTCTAAAAATAAAAGATCTGACCTCACGTGGTCACCACGTTAGAAAAAGTAGTACAAAGAATGATTAAAAAATTCAAGTGGAATTCAAAATACCCTGAAAGTTGAGCGCTTTCGAACATTTCTCTGTTCTTCTTCAGGAGTAAAAAGGTGAATTTCTAGGTCTTTTGAATTCTATTTGTTTAACCCCCTGCGGACTTACAATGCCAGAAACCTGGTTTCGATACCCATGGTGGGCAGAGCACAGATAGCCCATTGTGTAGCTTTGTGCTTAATTCCAACCAAACAAACAAATCTATTTGTTTAACGACAATCTTATTGAATTTAGTATCTAAATTATAACTATATTTATATATACAGTGCCAAGTACTCAGATTAATTACATTTTAGAAGTACAATGCTGCACTTAATTAAACTATTCTTTCTTCTTCATCGATCGTGATCAGTCTGATGGCTATGATTAAGCACTTTGAACTTTCCACTGTAATAATCTCTTGTGAAATATGGCGAGGTCAACTTTAGACTATCCATCTTGACAAGCTTTCCATAAAGTCTCCACTATACATTGATGACATTGGCTTCCAATACCACGTTTAAACAGAACAGGAACACCAATCCATAAATAGTAGCTGCATTTCGGGACTTGACAGATATGTGATCGAATAGGTTTTTTGTTGTTTTTTTATTTCGCGCAAAGCTACACGAGGGCTATCTGCGCTAGCCGTCCCTAATTTAGCAGTGAAAGACTAGAGGGACGGCAGCTAGTCATCACTACTTACCGCCAAATCTTTTACCAACGAATAGTGGGATTGACCGTCACATTATAACGCCCCATGGCTGAAAGAGCGAGCATGTTTGGTGGGACGGAGATTCGAACCCACGACCCTCAGATTGCGAGTTATGCGCCCTAACCAACTAGCCATGCCGGGCCCCTATCGAATAGGATCGTTGTGATTACTGCTTATTCAACAATCTTTCTACTGTTTTCGATATGTGGCTGGAAGGCAGATAACTTTTAGTTTATGATCCTTCATAAGCTTTATAGCATTGTTTAATATTTTGTTAAAAGTACAACGGAATTTATTCAGCTTCAACACAATGTTTATTTAGGTTAGTCATTTTTACCTCCTCCCTGCTGAAGTTCGGGTTCAGGAAAAGAAGCTTGTGAAGTTTTGGGCTATTGTTCTTTCCTATATAAATATATGGCCAGATCAAGACCGTGGACTTGGTCTTTCATATCAGTGGCAAATACCCTCATACAAGAGGACTCCTTCTAAGCCAATGCTACCTTCTCGGATTGTGGTCTGGCTTCAGTATTAAGCCCCTTCTCTCGCTCAAAATTCCCTCGATTGGAAAATAATAATTCCAATTTTCGTCAAAGTTGTGCTCTTGTGTACAAAAGGAGCACAGAAAAGCACACTTGTCAAAAATATAAAAAATTCTGTGGTAACGAATCCAAAACATAAGCCACATTACCTTACTCTGTTGAATTTTCATTATGCTTCTTTGCTACAGGTAAGGATAGAATCCGCTCTTACTAGAAGTTCAGCAAAAAACGTATTATGGAAATAAACCGACCTGGTTGATTTGAGGAAAGAGACTATAAACATTCCACAGTGCAACAAAAATCGTTTATTTATTGAATGGCACATTAGACAAACAAAACACGGGACGTGTGCATAGAACCTTCTGCTTTCTTCCATCCAGTCACTCTTATCCAATTTTCTAACTTATCCCCCACACCTATAGAGATATTTTTTTTACAAGCCTTTTATGTGGCACCTAAATTACTACGTTACTTGTGAACATATTAGCACAAAAATTAAGAACTTCTCCAGTGCCACCTTCCATAGTAAGGTTCAGAAACACCAGTGGGTGAACGACCCATGACAATTTGTAACTAGTACAGAAATAACGTTACAATGATACAAAACCAGTTGTCTGAACGTTATGCATTTATCACTTGCACCAAACTCGTGTAAGTGCGAAAAAATTTGCTTTTGGTTTTCGGTGTACCAGAAATGTTCACCTTTCTAAATTGTGGCTTTCACTTTATATATGAGAACCTCGCTCCAAAGTGAGTTGGAGTATGGTTTCGGAGTCTGTTAATTACAGTTAACTTAAAAATAAAAAATGTGGTATTAAAACTTTGATATCAAACCTTAATCACAGATTATCAGTTATGCTAACTATATTATATTGGTTTGTTGACCCAAGTTATGTGGATAAGCCTTGAATAGGCGAAACTGTAGTCCAAAGCACAGAGAAAGTGACAAATCAAAGAATGCAATAGGTTTCTACGTCACAAATTACATGTTCAGTTTTACCTTTGGCGAAAAGAACTCTATAATATAATTATTAAACAGCTGGTCCGCTGTAAATTACCGAATAATAAATTAGGCGCAATGTCATAATATTAATTAATTTAGGCTACTATGTGGCGAATTAAATATATACTTTCACCTATTCCAGTTTTGAATTTAATTGAATATTGAAGTATGGCTGGCTCGATGACGTCTGGTGTTGAGTGAATGGTTTGATCGTTAGAGATAACAGTGGAGTTTAGTTGAAATTATATTAAAGCGCTAATACTTCTGAAATCCCCGCATTGGATCGATTAACGGTAAAATCTTAATATTATTAGGCTCTTTCGACTGAAGCTTTGTCATGCTATCTAGCCTGATGGCCAACTTACATTCTTTAATATACAGAGGGTTAATTACATTAAATTAAAACAATTTTGAATATACAAATCAACAGGTAACGTGTCAACTGCAGCTGACATAAAGTCGCGGTGGAACGATATGTATCATAACTACATTTTGGCATTCTTTTGTGTTTCGTATGTAGTGTGATGCCACTGACAATTGATCGCTTTAGGGAAATGCTTGTAGCAGTCCGTTCCGATGCCAAAATATTCAAGCACTCACATCATAAAGATGTGTTCAGACTTAGGATTTAAAATTTCCAAGACGGGGATATCTCTCGTAATAAATGGTATGAGAAAACAAAGGAACGTTGAATCAACTTGGGGCCGAGGACCATCCAGAAAGATACCTACAAGTCATACCACAGCTATGGTAAAGAAATTGCGACATCTTGTAATAAGTTAGAACCTATGAACACAGACGCCAATGTCAAGATCTCTCCTCGTTTCTCAAGCAACAGTACGCATCATTATCAAGAAGGACCTCTGTAGGAAAAAGTGACACAAATCACGTGTACACAAGTTGTTTCCACAACACCTCAGGTAGTCGGAGAATGAAACGGATATTCATGGTAGTCCATTCGAAGATATACTAATCAAGTCGTTGAATACAGCTTCTATGGATTTCTGTACGGAGAATAAAACGGGTTTTCATGGTAATCCATTTGAAGACATACTAGTCAAGTCGTTGGACGAAGCGTCTATGGATTTCTGTACGGAGAATAAAACGGGTTTTCATGGTAATCCATTTGAAGATATACTAATCAAGTCGTTGGACGAAGCGTCTATGGATTTCTGTACGGAGAATAAAACGGGTTTTCATGGTAATCCATATGAAGATATACTAGTCAAGTCGTTGGACGAAGCGTCTATGGATTTCTGTACGATTACACTGTTGAAACAGGCTCTGAGAAACCGTTGTCCTCATAAATTAGTTGGTTTGTGGAAAGCCAGCAGGTATGAGAAGTATGTTTTGGCATGACAACGTTACGACGGAGCTCTTTGGAATGGAAACTATGCTGCAAGGTTATTGTCAAGATACACAGTCGTAAGACATAGCATGACCAGACGAAACGACATGGACTATAATGACATGGTGAGGCTCCAAAATCATGTTGATATCATGTGCTCAACCTCTGTATAACTTTTTTGTTGCTATAACGCCAAGCATTTATTGCTGTATCTTTTTATTTTTTTTAAGAAACATGACAACAATTGATAATATAATGGTAAGTGAATCATACATAAGTTAAAGAATATGTTTCTTAAAGTTATTTTGGAGCTCGTTAAAATGGTAAACAAGGTTGTTATATCAAATATTCTGGAAAGAAGGTATTTCAAATATACGATTGCTATGTAAACATTTTTTTAGCAGATCGTTATATTAAACGTACTGAGAATGGATTGTTCGAGAGATACGTGGTTGCTATGTAAACATTTCTTTAGCAGATCGTTATATTAAACGTACTGAGAATGAGCTGATTGCGAGACGTCGTTGCCAAGCAAAAAACAGTTTATTAATAAGCGCCCCTACAAGAACTTGGGAAGGAGGGCTATCCAAGTAGGATCTCAATAAACAAAGAAATTTCAAATACTAAAAATAAACTTAAAACAAACAGCAGTGACAACAAATACAATTCAGTCTCAAATTGTTTTCAACTGATAACATGCTGACAAACAATATTAATTCAAAGCTATATAATATCAGTATAATAATAATAATTATTGGGGACTTGGATTTTTAAAGACTGCCTAACGACATAGAAATACCTTATCTATACGTCTATAATACCATCTACTCCAAAACAGTACACTTTGAAGGTCCAATAAAAAATGGAGAAGTACGTATATTAGTTAAGGAAGAACTTGTCAGATTGGATCGAAAACCGTATATAATCCTGACTGGTCAAAAGGTAATAATAACCGAGCATTTCAGTTGATTAAAAGATTTACAGCTTCAGGTATATGCAAGCTTTTGATGTTATTGTTACATATACACGTGATTAAGTAATTTAACCCACTCCTAATGAACAGATTTTAGTCGAATTCTTCAGTAAAAAGTATGAACAAATGACTATCTATCTCTACCTAATCTCCATTGATCCTACAAATTGGAAATGTGGCACCAAGAAACTAACGTTATAAATTAGTATTTTGATAATAACATTTTCATGTAAATAATGTGTAATAAAATATGCTTTGAGACTATATGCAAACATTTATATGTGTTTATACAAAAGTTTGAAACTTTATACTCTAAAACAACACACAATAAATATGCCCTTAACATAAACACGAACTTCACGATTTTTTCCAAAAAACGAAAAACTCTTCTCATGATCACATTCCTAATACTGTTTATTAGAATATATGAAATGGGCCTAACAATACCAATTTCAAGTGTAAACTGTCAAATGACCATGTATTATTTTTGCTCATGTAATAAAAGTTGTGCCATGTTATAATACATTTAACATAGTATTTCTAAGCTGTTTCATGCTAATACTTTTGGAAGACATGGCAAGATATCAACGTATCAAAACTTTCTTATGAAAGAGTGATATACCCTGTACATTATAGTTACCCCAATAAGATGATTTTCTCCCTGATATACTAGTAAAATATTTTTCTTTACGGCTAACAATGAAAAATCTTCAAACGTAATCACATTAAAATAACATACACACATATATACATACATATATATATAAATATAGAGAGAGAAAGAGAGAAAAAAAAATATACCACTTCCCATAATTAATCATGACACAGATAAAACTTGACCAATAATGCACTTACATGACACATTACAACATATTTTGGTACTATAATTTCCTTTTATTCATTACTTTTCTTTATTTTCTATTGAGTTTTCATGAAAAAAAAAGACAATAACAAACAACAAACTGGATGCTCATGTTTGAGCTTGTATTGACCTTCAAGTTTCATTAACGCTTTAAACAGAAAAGTTAAATAGGTTTGGTAGCTGGTTCCAAGTACAATATCATAACAGTTTCTTGTTCAGTCACCATACACACTTTGATGGCTGTCTTTAACACACTCGTTTTTCTGGTATGAGAATTATTAGATATCATTATAATTTGTATAATTCAAAACATGGAAATTGATTGGTCTTACATGAAGCTGTAAGAAGGTAGTTGTGCTATTATTGGTGTTACTTACACCACATCAGCAATCCTAATGACTAACTTTTTATTCAGAAAGTTTTATGTTCTCTATGTTATAAACTAGTTCCACTACAACAGTATGAACATTTGACTACATCTTGTTTAGTACATGATAAACTCTTACAATGAGGTGATAGAAAACTTTTAGTAGTATTTATACCTACCTCATATGATCAGTATGTATCTGTCATGTCGTGTGGGTTAAAAAAAAAACCTTTTTCTACTAGTAAATAATTTCTAACACTGAAAAAAATTTTTAATTGTACCTGAAGGTTTTAAAATGCAAATTGGTTCTCAATTCTTTTAATAAAGTTTTCCTGAAAAAAAGATGAAATAAAACATTCAATAAAAATTATATATGTATAATATTTTTGTTCAATAAATATGATAGAAAAAAGAGCAAAATAAACGATAACAACAAAAATTATCAACAGTTGTTAAATTGAATTTTTTCAATTCATAAATGTGTCCCAAACTCTGAACGTAATTCTACAAAAACAAATCAATGTACATTACACACTAGCTTATTATACAAAAACTGATAATTTACATTTACTGTTACTGGACAGTGGTTACTTATATGCAGATCTAAGTTACTTAATTCACACATTTAGAAATAATATACCTACCATATAGAAAGGCTATCAAAATACTAACATCCCATATATGGAGTTCTCTCTCTCTCTCACACACACACACAACATATCTTATTTAAACACTGTCAAGAGGTGTACATTTCACAAGACACGATACAGTAGTGTGAAGAATATTCTGTAATCTGTTTTACAGCTTATTATGTATTAATTTACACCTTTACTTTCCTTATTTAACAAAGCAAAAAATACAATAATGACTATCAAATAAAAATGTTGGAATACATCAGGTTGGAATTAGAATGTTCAAAGACCACAAGTATGAGATTCTTGCACACATCCAAATTAAATTTTGTATCATCACTATGTGATTAAATATGGAAAAATTAATTATTAATCTATGACTTACAGTTGTTCCATTAAATACATCATGGGATGGAATTTGACACTGTTCAAAGACAAGTATGAGATACTTATACACCAAGAAGTTAAATTTCGTACTATCACTATGTGACTAAATATGGAAAAATTAATATTAATCTATGACTTACAGTTGTTCCATTAAATACATCATGGGATGGAATTTGACACTGTTCAAAAACAAGTATGAGATGCTTATACACTAAGAAGTTAAATGTCCTATCATCACACTGTGACTGAATATTGAAAAACTAGTTATTAATTTACATATTATGGTTGTTTTATTAAATGCATCATGGGCTGGAATTAGACACTGTTCAAAGACCATAAGTAAGAGATATTTGTACACTTACAAGTTAAATTTTCTACCATCACTCTTTGTCTGAATATGAAAAAATTAATTATTATGATAGTTATTCCATCAGCTGGTTGATTTCTCTAAGATGTTGTTACCGATACAGAAATATTTGTAATAAAACAACATATATATATATATATATCTACAAGAATCACAAGATGAAAGATAACATGTCACTTAGTAAATTACGACTAGAATATTGAAATTTTACCCTGATCAAACCCTGTAACTAATAATTAAATTTGGTAACTGCAAAAGCAAACTTAGAAAGAGCACATGTCCTTGAATACATTCAGATTTGTGCTAATAGTATTAACACAAGCTTTGTGACCATAGTTAATTTGGATTCTTAAAGCCCAGAAATCCAGATCACCTGTTACTTCTCAATTTGAATCAGTTTCTTCAGAGTCTTCCTCCTTCTGATGTTCTGGTATATGTTTTACAGGGTGAGGTTTACCATCAGTACCAACTCTCATAGGTTGTACAATGCCATCTCTGTTATTGATCAGAAAAGAAAACCAAGTCACTACAGCTCAAAAGATCAAACATAATCAGTTCAGAAATCAATACATGTAGAATTATTCTCTTTTGTTGTCATTGTCATTAATTTTGAACTTACATTTACCCCTAGTACAGTTCTTAATGCCATTACTTTCTCACACACATCACTTGAAATGTAATGAATGCTTCACTAAATGTAGGCCTGTGGCAGAAAAGCCAGAACTAGTTATTAAGTAGTGTTAACCAAGAGATTTGTTTGAGCACTAAATGTAGTAAATAAATGTTAAAGATAAACAAAAGGGGGATAGCATGTCTATTAGTTCCCTCAAATGATCTTTATGTGTTTGAAGTATTAAAAGAGTAAGTAAAAGTTAATGGACTAAAAAAAAAAAAAAGTTAGTATGTCTGTTAATACCCTGAGAGAATCCAAGTATTGAAGTATGTCAAACAATACTAGTTCATTTTTCAGGAATTCTTTCTTTTCTTCACTAATATTACACTTTTCCATAAGAAGAAAAATTCACAATTAATACTAGTTCATGTTAACCATAAATATGATGATTTTGTACTCCGAAACAAACCAAATAATTATTATTATAAATTTATTAAGATACAATTACAAATAAAAGTGTAGATATTTAACCCTTTCGCTACAGGTACCCTTTTCTGCACAAGTTACTGTGTTACATTCAAAAGTTAATTAAACCCCTTTAATATCAATTTATGTGCACTAAATTAACATTATAAAGTATGTTATAATTCAAAGTTTTATGTTATCTAAATTTAAGTCCTTTATTTGAAAAGAAACCTTTAAGAAAACTACTTAAAAACTTCAGATGTATTATCACGTAACCAACGAGGTATGAAAATTCTCTACTTTGGCACTCTGTATCTTCAATAATACAATGGCAGTATTGTAGATGTACATCTAGACTACAAGATGCTTACATAACCTTTTTGATTCATACATTTCAAAATTCTCTGAACGAATGCAGTTAAAACAAGTAACAAACGTTTTCAAACCCTGACAGGTACCATGCCCACCTTCTACAGATTTGAGTTTTATAGCATACATATAGATGTTACATAAACATGTGTATAATCATTAGAAAGAGCACATTTTACACTGTTACAGTTACTTTTAAATTGGTGAGGAGTTATTGTCACGAAGTACATGTAACTGTTGGCTGCTCTTGATCGACTATAGCACTTACAGTTGTTTCTTACCTAAATATGTTATAGTTAGTGATACAATTAAATTGTATTTAGGTCTTACTTTTATATTTTAGTTAATTATGTATTGATTATGTTTTAAAATGCATAATTAAAAAGTTTAAACATTTTTTTAAATATACATCATCCTTTGTGTCAGTTCTCAAGGCTTAAGATATTACACAGTGAACAAACATTTTTCCAAAGAGTTGCACATATCTCCCAAACAAACTGTAATATGCCTCAAGGACACCATTGACTTGTGTCAAGATGACTTAAGTGGTAAAGGACAAGAAAGGAAAATAAAACATTAAAAATTAACTATCTGTGAAAAACCCAAAATTACAAATATAACAAAGACAATATCTTTAAAGATATTCTACAAAAAATTAAATGGTATGTCATTTTTTTTCTTCTATTTCCTAATTTTAATCATTTCATTGCATTGTACATTGATGATATAGCTCGGTAGTGATATGGTTGATAAAATGAAAAATAAAATACCAAATTTACCTTAAAAAACTTTTGATGTTAATTTAGGAGGTTATAGATGTTATACAAATGAAATATGAAACTATAAGATGAAGAAAAGTATTTTCATACTTAGAATGAAAATTACCTTGCACTTAAACTATTTTAACAGTTTGAATGCAAATAACTGCTGTAGATAAATAACATTTTTATTAGAAAGACATAATTAAAATAATGTCATTCTTTGTGTATAAAATACTTATAAACTTTAACAAAGTCTTACGAGATTTTGTGAAGAATGCATAGAGTTTATGTATTTTTGTTGCATAAATGTCCTTCTCTAGTCGAGCAGATGGTAATCACATCTGCCTGTACTTAAAAGGTTAAATGAGGTTGATAAAAATTACCTAAAGGAACAAATTATAGGTGCTGCCAAGTTTTTTGGCTATTTCTTTTATGCATCCAATTTAGAATTGTAAGTTAGAATGCACAAAACATTCTGCAATTGACACTGTAAAGTATTTATGAAACAAAACTTGACATATAGGAATGGTGGTCTGGCTAATACATTGGATCACATCAGCTGATATGTTTAGTTGAAACACCACCTCACTTCCACGTTGTTGTTTTTTTTTATCACAACTTAACAAGAGTTTAACTAATGACAACTGCCACTGATGTGACTGAAAGAAAGTGATCAGCCAATCAAAATATATGGTTTGAAGTCATGATTTTAAACAATATAATCAACTAAAAGAAACATTTTAAAACACTTAAATGTAAATTATAAGGTTCCTAGGCAAATCATTCTTAGCACCTAATCTAGACAATTTTGTTTTCTGTATTATCTACTGTAAATATTTTTAGTAGAGTTTTATTATCAGGTAAGAACTTTCCAAATCAATGATCACCTGACAAACTTTCCAATATAGAACACAAAGTTCAATATTTATGTGTGGAGAGAGTGTTTGATATTTCTGTTACAAACATTGCTTATTATGCTCACATTATACTTGTTAACTTCCCATACTTTTCTGATCCAAGATGTTAAATTTTTAGGTTTTACAATAGATTCTTTCCCTTCTAAGGCACATTATTAAGATTAACATTTTCCAACATTGAAGGAGTATTTCTGATAGATACTTATCTCTGTCACATAATAGCTTTTCTTAATTTCTGTTGCCCTCTATGTGAGCAATTTTCACTCACCACAAGCCTTGAGGCTATGCCCTAACATCGTGTGTTTCCACATGGTATAGCTGCATTGTAGCATGCAAATGAGCATACGGCAACCCTCCTAGTGCAGCTGACTCCCTCTATATTGTAGAGTAAAATCATCATTTCAAGATTAAGCAAGAGAAGATGTACCAAAAGTTGTGAGGATATGTGGAAAGTTTGAGAAGAGGTAAGTATGTATTAGAAAAACATCTTTGGTGTTGGAAAATGCTAGCTTCCGACATGATACTTTACCTATTCTCACAATAATAGCTAGAAACCCACACTACAATGGTGGAGGGACTGGTGAAAAATTTACTTAGATGAGCTACCTACAGAAGGCACCCAAAGAGAATCCATGAAACGTGATACTCTAAAACATGAAAATACATGGGAAACTGCACCTCATCTGTAATAAGGTATACTCTTCACCTGCAGTGAAGATATGTGTTACCAAGCCAGATGGAAAGAAAGCAAGTCCAATACAAGAAATGGATGTGCCAGATGACCTAGGGCATGTCATACTGTACTTGGTGGTCAACTCAAGTCCAAAGCCAGGCAGCATTGGGTATGTGCCTTCTGGTTTGCAGTAGGAGAAGGGTCCCAAAAGTCTTCACCTCCATACCAGGAAGCAGAAGGGAGAAGTAATTCTGGGCAACCTAGGCAGGACTCATGTGTGCAGACCCAGTATACAACCAACACCAAGCCACCTAGGAACCTGACATCTGGGCAACAGTAGGCAGGGGAGATGCAAACGTGTTGGGTCAACTCCAGTCCAAAACAAGGTGGTGTCAGGAATTTTTGGAGGGTCTCTGCCAATCACACGTGTTAGGACTTATGTTGGCTGGTTCTGTACAAAACCAGGTGGCATCAGGAAGTTTTCTATGATCTGCAAATAGGAGGAAAGTACACACAATCTATACCAACAGACCACCACCACCACCACTCTACTGAGTGGAAGTGATAACACTCAGGAGGAAACCTCTGTGGTCCACCACACCAACAGCTGAGAACTGGTAAGCAGCAAGGACTCACGTACTCCACTGGAAGAGGGGTAAAAAGTTTGGAGTGCCTGGAGGAACACAACACCTTAAGCCTGTGCAATGGGTGAACATGAAAACCCTACTTAGAAAAACAGGTCTGTCCTGGTTTATTCAATTAGGACCAGAAGGATTGCCCACCCTGACACTGCTTTACTCACGATAGTTCACGAGTTAGTACGGTCTGGAACAGACCTTTATTATAAAGCAATATACGAAGAGTAACCCTCAAGAAGTCTTGTGGAACACCCCCATCATGTCAGTGAGCATTATAAACCTTAAAGGTTGCATGGTGCAGATTTAAAGTTAGGTATACCCTGAGAAGCACCACTAGCCACTGAGTATGATTCAGAGATGTAAAAATAGACCACTGTAATAGTAACATATATAAAAAGAGAGTTTACCTATTCAGAGCCAGTATGGAGAATGGCAACAGTAGGAAGTCAATACCTCGAAGAAGAAAAGACAGCTAGATGATCATATCTCCTACAGCCACAGACGAAAAGTAAGAAAAAGAACCTAAGCAAATGATAGTACAAGAAGTAAGAGACTAGAGGTTCAAAGAGAGGAAGGGTAAGGGCATGACTGTATGTATAATCACTAACCATCTATGAAATATCTTAAGAAAAAATTATCTAAAACTTGACATACCACCAAAAGTTCTAAGAGATGGATATGAAGAGATGATGTGTCATGGTATCACTGACCTGAATGCATGCGAGAGTCAATACATGCCTCTTTCATCTCATCAAGGAGGCATCTAGAAACAGAAGGAGATTAAGATGAGAGGAAGGAAGAGGAACACCCACTATGGGAGTAGTTAAATCACCAGGTGAAGTCTTTGAGTAAGGAGGGAGAAAGGAGAACAGTTGAGGACAAAGGATCCCAAGTAAGGGTCCAGTGATCATGCAGAGTCTATTGTACATGTCACAAATGAGTATAACCCAATGGGACACAGGATTCCATGGAAGCCCAAGTCCCCAAAAGAGTGAGAACCTCCCATTCAGCGAGAGGAGAAAAAGATATGGCATAATAAACTAATTACTCCATGTCTTTCAAAAAAAGAAGAAGGCTAGGCCCTGTGGAGATGTGAAAGAAAAAAAACACCCAAATAAATGAGAATGTGAGATGCGACTCTTCCAAGTTGACCAACCAACCCAGATGCACCACCTCCTGAGAAGAGGATAGGTGTAGAAGGCTTGTTAAGATGGAACCAAATGAGAAAATAAGATGAAAGATGTAAGACCAAACACATATCTACAGATACCTTTGGAACCATGAAAAGATGAGAATAAAATCCTGGAAAAGAATGAGAAACCCATTCAATAGCAAGTTTAGCCATTAGAACCAACACTGGCAAGATACAAGATCCCTTGGAGGAGGGAAAATAATGGAAAGAGCAGACAATTTGGGGGGGGGGGGGGATGAAGATTAAACTTCTCTGACAGAATTCCTAGTACCTAACAATATCCTGCAAACTATACTTCCATGTATAGAAAAGAGACTAGGTTATTGCTCTGTTTACACATTGCTCTTTCAAGCTCCTTAGAGCACATTGAGAGAAAGTAGAAATAAATTTCTCTGAACTCTTGACAAATGCCATGCTCACTTTCTACACATAGAGTTGTGATTTATCAGCCAATTATACTTAGTTGAGCTAGATGTTTATAACCAATAGAAAGACCACATTTTAGATATGATCTCCCAATAGTTATCTTAGAATTAACATGAAGAACTGAATAGAGAACTAGTCAAACTGCTCTTAACAATGTTGCTGCTTATGTCCTCGCTAACACTTTAGCATTTTTTTCCCACCTAGAAATACATTAGTTAGTTACACAATTGCATAGTATTTAGATTTAAGTTTTATATTTTACTTAATTATGTGTTATTTATGTTAGGTTTAATATAATTTTTTATATAAGCCACCACCTTCTCGGTGTAAAACACAAACGGCACCACATTCTGCAGAGGGCTAAAGTTTCTCTGCCCATGATACCATAATATTGGCCGGATGACATCGATTGATGTTTGTTACGATAAATAACAATGCTAACTGCAGAAAAGGATAATAAACCATTAAAATAAATTATCTGTGAAAATGTAAAGACATGTAATTAAGAATATAACCAAAAGAAGATGTTTTAAGATTATTTAACGAAATATTAAAAGGTATGTACATTTTTCCTACTCTTAATTTTAAACATTTCATTGAACTTAACTAAGTACAAGTTGATGATAGCTGTAGTTAGTAATATCATAGAGAAAGTGGAAATAAATATACATAAACATTTACCTTAAATTAAAAACTTTTGATATTCACTTAGGAGATTCTGGGGGTTATGCAACTGAAATTTGAAAACTATACAATGGAAAAAAACGTATTTCTATACTGATGTTGTTTAGTTAGTTATGCAAGATGCTATTTGGGTATAGACCCATAAACTTAAGAGTTAATATTATTTGTTCAGTTATGTGTGTAGTTTTTATATGCTTAAATAAATGTTATCCAGAAACCCTAGGATAGCTGGACTCACACAGAAACAAAACAGTGAATAAAGTCTTTGTGTTGAATTCATAAAAAGCCAATCAAGCTACCATGCTGACTAACATATAGTTCTGGCATATTAGTTGTTATATTAAATACAGATGACTACATTACCTTGCCAACTTAGCCATCATGTTCAGGAGCTCCATGGCTTCCTGTTCTTTTTGCTCATCTGTTAGGCCTTCCATTGGATTAGGTCTTGGAGATTCATAGCAGCCTTTTACTGGATTGATTCTTGAAAAATACAGAAGATTTACTTAAGTTTAATATGACTAAATTAAGAATAAGAAGAAAAGCATCAAGAACACCACTCATACTTTTAAAAATATATGTTAATGAGAGGGTTTAGCAAGTCAAGTGGGTAAAGCCCCCAAACCTCCTTGTTTTATTATTTGATGGTCTTTATCTTTAACATGAAAAAAAATTTAGTGGCTATCAGTTTTTACATATATATATTTCTTTTTCAGCATTTAACTCGCCATGGATACAGCATCCCTGGTGATGTTGGCTTCTACAACATGAGCAAGTAATTGTAAGACTTGAATAATTAAAATTACAACATGCATTATATATAGTTTAAATCACATATTTAAACTTTCTTGTGACATGTAAATATAATAATACAAAGGTAACAGAAAAAGTTTTTCAGTGAAGCATTACACGAGGTTTAAACATCTCTTATAATAATACCACCACCCACAAAGTTTAATATGAAGCTTTTCAGAGGCTAATCCTCAACATAAAACTCATCAATTTTAATAAACAAAATATTTTCCCAGATAAAGACTGTGAATGTTTTAATTTCTCAGAGAATACTAACATTTTAAGGTAATATAAAAACTATTTCAGCTTCTTAAAAATACATGCATTAAAGATAAGATACTTACATCTAACAATATATCTTTTTTGTACACATCTCATGTGAGTAATTAATATCCTGAGATAAATAGAATAAATCTTGTGTTCTTCAATATTAATCCTTTCCCAGTAGAAATACTTAACCAAATTTTATGACACTTAATAAACACTTTAATACATAGTATCTAGTTTAAGCTTTACAAATATAATCTAATTTGGTTTACTTAATTTTTTAATGTTGTGAAACTTCCAAACTTTTCTTGTTAGAAGCTTTTAAAAGTAGATTAAACATAGTTCCTTTTGTCTTAGAATCCCAATTTTTTTACTGTTGATCAGCAAGTTGCATTTTATGTATCCAGTCAGTTTTAACTTAGTTGATATTCTTTAATAGATTTCTTTCAATACTTCATTTTGCCAATTGCAGAAGTCAACACTTCAGATTATAAATCATAAAAAGTACAGAACAACTAAGATTTATTGACGATCTATGACCTGAATTTTAACAACAGCATTTTGCTAACAATTTTTTGGCCACGATCAATTTATTTTACTTATCTGCATTGTTTGCATATGATAAACAACAATAATTTTCAATAAATAAGAATTCTTTTTATATAAATATTTTGCCATCACCTATCATACTCTCTACACCTAACTATACTTAAAGTATGTCTACCTCTGTAGGAGCTACATATAATCACTCTTTCACAAAACCATCAATTATCATATCAACTTAACCTTTGGAATAGGATTAATACTCCATATTTCTCAAACAAGTTTCACTATATTTTTTATTCTTAGTCAATTAAGTTTCATAAACAAATTATTATTCATCCTAAAATATCTCAATTTTTGGGTAAAACATTTCAAACAAGTCAATAATTTAAAAACGTGTGTGTGTGTGTGCCTATATACATACATATATATAGAAGTGCTTTAACTACAAATACATGAAATCAGAAACAGCTATAAGATAGACATTTCCACATGTACTTAAAAACTACTTGGGAAACTAAGTATTAACATTATCCTATTTATTCACGGTAAGGTAAAAGTATAAAAAATATCAACTAAAAAAAAGGAGATAATACTAATTATTTATCAATCAACCAAAAATTTGATCAACACCTCAAAAAAAATGTATCAAATGGTGTATGGCATTTGAAAAACATTAAGAACCTTTGTCAATAAAACAAAATGTGAAGTTAAACAGATGAAACAAATCCAAAATGCTCAAATAAATATGAAAGTAAACACAAAGAAAACTAGTACCAAGGTTTCTGCTGGTTATATAAATTCCACATACAATATTGTACTGATATTATTTCCCTTTAACTTTGATGGCTTAAAAAAACTTTGAATTTTTGGCATGAACATTCCGTTATAAAAGTGGTCATTAAGTCTTTATAAAAAATGTCCTTTCTTTGGATGCAAAATAAAATTCTCATTATCTTTAAGCATACATGTGCATGTACAGTAGAAGTGGTTAATCACTGATGGAATGTTACCTTTCCTTACAAGCAAGATACTCTTCAGTGTCACTCTCTTCAGACTCACTTGAATAGTTACAAGCACCACTGCTCTGACCACCAAGCATTAGACCTCTGTTTGCCAACAGACCTGCGGCATTGCCATAACCAGTATACTTCACTAGTCGATTCACTGAGAAAACAGAAATTATGTAAACAGTCAGCTCTAACATCACATGAAACACCAAATTATGTAATTCACACATGGTCTCTTTTAGTTATTTATTGCAAAAACAGTTTCCACAAAAGTCAAATCATTCCTCATTCCATAAAGGGTTTAATAACCCTATATCCCAAATCACTGCTCAGTCCATAGTTGTCCATTCTCCAACTTGCATCCCATTATATTGCTCAGTAATATGTATTACCTTTTGCCTCTGAAAAAAGATTCATGTGCACCAATATATCTAACAGTTGAAAAAACACCTTAATGCATTGTTGCTAGGCTAGCTGTTGTCTCTCATAACAGTACATGAAGCACGGCAACTATTGTTCTGATGATTAGTCTCTCATAACACTGCAAAAAGAACAGCAGCTGTGGTTTCAGTGACTAGGGCCTATCATAAAAATACATGAAGCACAGCAGCTCTTATTCCAGTGACTAGGATCTATCATAAGAATACATGAAGCAGAGCAGCTGTGGTTTCAGTGGCAAGGACCTATCATAATAATACACAAAGTGCATCAGCTGTGGTTGCAATGGCTAGGACCTATCATGAGAATGCATGAGGCACAGCAGCTGTAGTTTCAGTGACTATGATCCATCATAAGAATACATGAGGCACAGCAGCCGTAGTTTCAGTGACTACGATCTATCATAAGGATACATGAAGCACAGTGATAGGTCCTAGCCCTTGCAACCACAGCTGCTGTGTTTCATGTATTATTATGATAGGTCCTAGTTACTGAAACCACAGCTGCTGTGCTTCATGTATTCTTATGATAGGGCCTAGTCACTGAAACCACAGCTGTAACAGTGCATGTGGTTCCAGTAGAAAACATACAAAAGTATTGGCTTAACTAAGGCATTACATACAGATGGACAGTAGCTTTTACAGTTGAATCTAATGGTATTATAAGTGCATATGGAAATAAATTTGTTGTTAATGTCAATACACAAACACACACTTCATCATTATATACATTGAATCTTTCACTCTCGATATATAATAATACTGACTGCAAAACTGTACTTCTATTTTCATACTTTATCTAGCAGACTGTAAACTTTGAACAATTCAATCACTTTTTAGCTATTTTTTACATAAAGAATTCATAAACTGATTATTATTCCACTCAAGAAGTTAGAGCTATCATTTTTGAAATATTAACTTTTTTATCTTGTATATTACTTTCAGCTGATATTGCACAGACAACTTTAAGATATTAATTACCAACCCTAGGAATTTTTTCAAATTCCACATTAGATTAAAAAGCTGTGATCACTTTTACATCAATGTTCACTGTACACTAAAAATGTTTAAACACCAGACCTTTCAACTTTAATAACAGAATCAGTCATAACATTTTTTTTATGATATGCCATTTTTGTACAATCTGTGTAGCATCTATAAAAAAAAAGTTGTTTTAAGTTTACTGCAAACCTATTCAAGTTATCTCAATTTGAAAAAGTAACTATATACATTTAAAACGTTTTGACTGCTAAAACAGTATATATGTGTAAGCTTTGAACCAATTTATACAATGTTAGGATGTTAATAAAAAGATGTAGATTTAAAAAAGAAAATGAAAACAAATCAGAAATGTAACAGGTATTTGTAATTATAAAACAACTACAGTTTCTAATATAAATATATTATAAACAATCTCAAACCAATGAAAAAACATGTGCACCTTACCATTTTCTTTACACAAGACAAAAAGAAAATCAGCAACAAGTTCTTTAATGTCTGTGTAGGGAGAAGTCATTAGACGAACAAGCCTAAGAGAAGAGAAGTTAATATTACAACAAGTGTGAATGCCAGAAAATGCTCTAAGAAAGTAAAACATTTTCTTATTTTCCTTAACAAAAAAGCTACACAAGGGCTATTGACAGTGTAGAAGGAAGATATCCAGTCAACAGCACCCACCACCAATTCTCAGGTTACTCATCTGACCAAATGGTGGCTCTAAACATCACTCTTATAGCACACCCACAGTCCCAATGTACAAAGTGAAGTTTTGTGGCAATGGGACACAAACCATGAACCTTTGGGTTCATAATATGGGAATGCTAACCACTAAGCCACATCCTGCCTCCAAAATAAAACATTTAGCTTTCTACCTATTTATTTTCAATGTTACAACAAGACACATTTAGGGAATGTAAAAAGGTCTGTCTTGAATGAAACTTTCACAGAATATCATATATACAGATGATAATCACTTTTAAACTAAATAGAAACAAATATATATATGTGTGTGTGTGTACATATAGAAAAAAGTCACTGACACTGTAAATCAAAAATTATTTAAAACATTACTAGGAAGAAATGTACAAAATTCATAAGGGCATCATTATTTATATTTTTCTAGTGTTACATGACATAAATGCTATCACTTTTCTTAAGATATTCTTTGTAATGCTGCAAATGGGTTTGATATAAAATATATACTTGCTAAGGTAGTTTTGACTATTATACTTCATAAAAGTGGTTCAAACCTATGGGTTTTAAACATAGAAATTTAATCAAGGTTCTTCTGAGCACTTACTGTTAAATTCTCCACTTAACCCTACCGACACAGTTCACGGGTCAAAGGCCATGTCATCTCGTCTGTTGACTAGCACTCAAAATTTTATTCAACTACTATTTTATGAATGTATGTCAATAAGTTTGGTATCAAACTGTAGATTATAATTCAAATTTTTGTATTATACATTAGTTAATTTCTTAATTTAAAAGTAAGTATTAAAAAAATCCTAAATACCCATTTTTTGTGTGTGTCATGTGGTATGTTGAATACAGCATTGGTTCAAATTAGATGTTTGTGGTGACCAAATACAAAGTCTATACTTTCTTATGAATTAGATACTGAAATTACCAATATTGACAAGTTAGAATATAAGATAAGAAATATCTTTTCTATTTTCTGAGATATTTATATATTTATTGAATCAACCAAAATGGCCCTGCCCACCTCTTCAATTTTTGAAAATACTTGCTCACATACACCTACTTCACCCAATAACATATGTATAACCAATCAAAAGCTCAGAATGTCCCCTAGTGGTTTTTCTCAGCCTCTACAAAGTATTTGTGTAGAAAACTCTTTCTTTTCATGCTAGATTCCAAGCAGTATAGTAATGCATTAATGAAGTTTAGTAACAAAGCTGTACTTGGGTCTAAAAAAGAATTCCACTATAATTTATCCCAAAAATCATAAATTACTATATCAATACCACATATTATTTTGTAAATGTGTATATATATATATATATATATATAAAACCTTGAAAAAATTATTTCGTTTCACATTCTCCACTTGCGAAATTTGATAAGGCTTTTAGCAACCTACGGCAAACAGCAAATGAATACAATGTTTGTAACTAGAAGAGATAATTGTTTGCTATATTTCATTGTTTACTGTTCTATGTTTTAAGAAAAATAAGTTTAAGAACTTACACAGCCAAGACAGATCACTTTGTAAAGGCCAGTTTTATATTCTTGGATATAGTAATATGAGTGCATGTGCAACTCGTCATTGCAACTTCTGTAATGTTAGCCAGGAATGACTGAAAGGTCTATATAATATAAATAATAAATATATATAAATGTATAATGTTATGAGATTTAAATTATTTAAACTAAACATCTGTGTTTTCATGTTATAATTTGTAGTCATTCAAGAACGAAAAAAGCGTAATTTATATTTCCTAATTTTTTATGGTGGTTACAAGGTCAGTCAAATCGACCAAACACGTACAGAGATTTGATAGTGAAAATATCAGATAAAATAGTTTTTTTTTCTTAAAAAACATTTGATAATTATGTGGAGGTTAAAAAAAAATTTCACATATGCACTTTTTCTGATGCATAAAAGTATTTTTAATCTTAAAATCAAAATTACTTTGCATGTTGGATAGTCAACATAAAAAAAAAGACATGAGAAAAACATTACTTAAAGAATTCTGATATTTTGTGAAGGAAAGCCTTGTTATTTTTACTGATAATCTTCAAAACTTTGTTGAGATACGCTTACTAATTTAAAAGTTATAGCATGCAAACTATAAGAAGCATAAAATGGTTACACGGTTGGTCCCTAGGACTGAGCCTGTGCTGAAAGAGTTAAAGCTTTAAAGTATTTTAAAAATTATAATGTTATTAAACACTACATAATCAGCATCTTCATTATTATTATTATTATAGTCTGGATTATTTTGACTGACCAGTTTCAAGTTACATGATGAGTTTAAAAAATAAAGGTTCCATTTTAGCAAAGAGAGAATATCTGATTGACATCACTTGCATTGCTCTCTGCTGGTGAGGCAACTCATTTGATTGCAGTAATTATACATTATTCACTCACAACTATTAAAGATTAGCCTTTAGCTTAAAAAATGGAGAGTGCATTTGTTGAGAAACAAAGATGTATTTTTTTTTTCTTTTTGTCATTTTCATAGGTTATCTCATCAAAAGATGTAGATATCACTAAGCACGTTAGTGCTTGGTATGTAGGGATGACCTGGGAAAAAAATGGCCAATGCATATTATGTATTACTCATCATAATCTCAAATCTCTCTTATAATAGTCTAAAAGACTTTTATAAATACCTAACTTAGGTTTTCAAAAGCTATTAAGATCTTCAGCTTAACCAAAGAACATCGTTAAAACAGAGAAGAGAACCAGCGAGTAGCTTAACAGTCGATTGTTCTGCCGGTTATTCTAATTCTGGCATCAGAAGGGCCAGCTCATCAGTGCTTGAAGTTGTTGCAATGATTTACATACCAAAATGTTGTATTTTAACTTGAGGAGTGCAGAAGCAGTATAGTATTTCATTAACTTGAACACATAATGGCCATTAAGACAACTCATCTAGCCAGGCTAAAACTGCTGCAGTTCATTATAAAATATTCATTGGTATTGTATAAAAAAGAGGGGGGGAACAAGTAATATAAAAAAAAAGGATGATGTAGAGATGGCAATGCCAAAAGTACAGAAACAAGATAGGGATGAGTACACAAAACCATACAAAAAATCCCTACATAGGAGGCTACTGAGTCAATGTTATAAGCCTATGGGATTTAGCCATTGTAAGACTACAGCATTATTCATATTAAATGCTTTTGTTCAAACGTGATTTCATGTAAATAAAAGGAATTAAACATTTAGTAGTAGGTAAAAGCTTTTCTTGGAAAGATTTGGTGACTTATTTAGCAATTTTTGTATTGTTTTGTGTATTTTATACTTTTTGGCATTGCCATTCCTTCAAGATTTTTATTACTTGTGTATGTAGGTTAGCTATGCTGCCTGTACAAACAGGCTTAGTATTACAGAAGACTTGCATTGTATATGAAACAATGTAGTTACTATGCTTTTGTTGCATTTTGCTGCAACATACCCAGAGTCTGTGAAAATTGTTTTTCTCATTCACCATTTAAGTATTTTTCTTGGAAAATGTTTTAGACCCTTTGGTTAAAAATTGTTCTTATAAATAATTACTAATGTAGTCTTCTCTGTTGACACTGTGGCTTCTTGACCTGCTCTGGGATCGAGAAGACTAGCTTTCTGGTTTGCCAAGTTTTTGTGAATAATGAGCTTGTTAAAGAAAATAATAAAATCTGTATCCTTAAGTTGATGAAGAATTTGAATATGGTAAACTCTCTTATTTAGATCATTGTTCAAAACCTGGTACAGTTCTATAGGATAATTTCAATTCTAGACTTGCTCATTGGATAGATTTCAGGCTGATGTTCAGAGCAGGGCATCATGCAATCATAGCACATTTTATTTGGAGTGTGTGGGATGTTAAGCTGTCCTGGGTGCTGTTCAAACAGACCCAACTTCACTATTCTTTTTTGTGTATTTTGGAAATTGTTTTCTGCTGTTGGGAGAGAATGTCCAAATGTCTCCTGAAAGAGATACTTTGTGTATGCAACTGAACATTGTACTTTCATCTAAACCCCCACTTCCTATCCTCCAGCATTAGATGGGAGCCATCTCGTAAGTATTTCACCTGAAAACAAATTGGAGTATGTTTATTCAAAAAGTTTAGCATATTCTATTCTTTCCCTAAAATATCAGTGGGATAGCTTTCATTGGCTGCCCTGTATTTTAACAAATATTGCATGAAGTTAGCTAATAATGATGCTTGAGGAGAAAAATATTTCTAACTTCATATATACATTAATGTTTGACTTAGTTTATAATTTGTACTATTGTCAACCTATTTCTAAAGGCTAACATAATGCATTAAACAGTGCTTATATTTTTATTGTTCATTTGTATTTGAAAAAAAATAATGTGGTAACCCTGTGGAATATTTTAAGTTGCGTTTGAAGTTACACTTGAATTAGGCATTTATTCTTGTTTATGAGATTTTGTAGCTTTTTCCTTCTGATGTTTGTGTGGTAAAGAATAATGCATTGCATGCAGTTTTTTCATATTATTCAACATGTTCCTATTCATGATGCAGCTGAAAAAAATTCGGGCTTTTAATGCTTTATTAAAATTGTTCCCATTAGGCAACTGTTATATCACCACTGGTGAGTTATGTTTTGTTGAATTAAAAAAAAAAAAAAGCCAAGAATGAATCAGTGACATGGTTTATGAATTTGTATATTTATTGACATAAACCTAACATCTTAAGGAAGTGAAGTACTGAAATTTACACTAAAAATCATTCTGCCATCCTGGCTACAATTGTACCAATTATTGGTCAGCAAGCAATATCAATTGATTTTGAACTTTGATTTGCATAATTAGTGCTCCTGCACACCACTGCACAGAAGAAAAAAAAAAATTGAACCACAAACTGGCCCACTTTCAAGTTATTATAAATGTAACTTGCTAATGTATAAAGATTTTTCTGTTGTATATATTAATTGATTGCAATATATTTTCAGGTACAGTGGAGGATATGGTAGTTATGGGACTAATCCAAACTATTCTCAAGGAACATATGGCCAATCTAACTTAGGATATAGTGTAAGTATTGTTTTGTCCTGTCATTGACAAAACAAAAAGTACAATTGGAGTATATTTGTACTGAAGTAACTTGCCAAATATGGAACAAGGGGTATGTTTCTTGTGCTGAGTATTGTGTGTAAGAACACTTAATATTTAATATGATAATTAAGAAACATACCCCTTGTTCCATATTTGGCAAGTTACTTCAGTACAAATATATACAATATTGTATATACCCTTAAGAACTATATGTTAGGTATTTATATGTTCAAACATTCAATTTTAGTTATTTTTTCAAATAAACCCATGGACAGTAAACTACTTAATTTCAAAAGCTAATTAAAATTCTGGGTACACAAGATTTTTTTTTAAATTTGAATGTATGTTCATTGTGTGTGTGTGTGTGTGTGAATTACTTTGCTCAGTTATTCTTTGCTAAATGAAGTTGATACTTTCTATATTAGCTAAATAAAAATGTACACGAAGACTTAAGTATTGTTAATTCTCAGGTTATGATACTTCTTTTTTTCATTTTCCTATGTTATATTCTATGATTCTTTTTAAAGCAACAACCACAGCAACAAGGCTGGGGAGGAAATACAGGTGGAATGGCATCAAGCAGCTATTCAGGGTACAATCAGGATTACTCTCAACCTACTCAGTCACCGGGCTACAATTACAATCAGCAACAGAGTTCATCATATGGTCAAACATCTGGTCAGTGTGTCTTGCAAGTTTTTATGGAGATGTGCATTTTCAAAAACTGATTATTGATTATTTTTTAACTGTTGATTGAAAAGTTATTGCAATATTCTAGTTGGCAAATTTTCTCATCTAAATAATCTGTAATGCAGGATTCATTTTAGTGATTGATGTTTAAGTTAAAAATGTTGAAAGTTATGGGTAAGTTTTCACTTTTGAGAGTAAAGAAAAAAGCTGTCCTGGAATCAATAGACATCTTTGTTCATTAATCCTTGATTCCAACATCTAACTATGCATGATGCATTTAAAGCAGACAGCACAGGTATTCGGAGGTTTTTATCATATCAGATAGGGTGGGAACATATTCCAGCTATGGAGCTTCAGTAGCAAGTTATGGAAAATGGTCTCTTACCTACAGCACCCAGCCATCATCCTACTCACAATCCCCTGCTTGACAACAGATGTATGCCTCTAAAAATAGTTATGAAACTGGTCAAAATCAGCCTCCATACAGAACTTCCTCATCTTATGGTTCTTATACTTACACATCAGCAACGGGTTATGGGCAGCAGCCAGGCACCACCTCAGGCCTAGTCTGTAGTAGCCTAAAGTTGTGACTTCATTTCAGGTTCCACTTCTACCCTACCTTCTCTTATCACAACACCCTCAGACCAACAGTTATCACCCCAAGGAATTCCTCTGCCAGGTCATGATTTTCTAAGACTTCCAGCACATTCTACTTCTTTCTGCCGTACCATCTCAGGGTGGGCCATTAGGCCCATTTGAAGGACTTGCATCTGGAGCTAATATATAAAAGTCTCCAGGAGGATATGGCCCACCTTCATGTGGAGATATCACAAGCTAAAGTAATTTTCTTTACCATGGCAGATTGAACACCCAATCACTAGGCTAAAAGTACAATATTCTTTCCTTGCATTTCATTAGAAGCTATGTTTGGGTCCACAAGGTAAGCTTATGAGTTAGTGTTATTATGATGTCTTTGACTGATATGAAAAATTCTGAATATTTCAGAAATAGTTCTATCAACCAGAAAATGGAGAAATTACACCCCAAACTCAATAAGAATAAATTCTGAAACTGTTAATTTGCATATTTCAAGCTTAAACCTTGTTAGATATAAATTTATAAAACGTATGGAAAGACTGCTATTTAACCCTATTGCCGTGGGTCAAAGGCCATGTCATCGTGTTTGTTGACTTGCATTCAAAATTTTATTGAAACACTATTTTATGAATTTATATCAATATGTTTGGTATCAAACTGTAGATTATAATTCTAATTTTAGTATTATACATTATTTGATTTCTTAATTTAAAAGTAAATATTTATAAAAACACCTAAAAATCATTGTTTGTGTGTCATGTTGTATGTTAAATGCAGCACTGGTTCAAATTAGATGTTTGTGAAGTCTATAATAGTTTCTTACGAATTAGGAACTCAAATTACCAATATTGACAAGTTTGAATATCAAGTAAGAACCTTCAAATTTTCTGTTTGCTGAGATATCGCTCATGTACTGAATCAAATACAGTAGCCCTGCTCACCTCTTTCCAGTTTTGAAAATGGTCCCTTATATACACTTTCTTCTGTATGTGACATGTAAATATCCAATCGAAAGCTCAGAATGTCCCCCTAGTGGCTTTCTCAGCCACTTTCAAGTGTTACAACGTCATAACGTTCTTTCAATACAAATCTTCCTGCTGGTAACGTGGGTCTTTAGTGAGCTTGAAATTTCATATTTTTTAGGCCAAATACAGTTTAGTTACTAAGTTTGATAAATTATAGTGGAATTCTGTGGTATTTATATAGTAATTTATGATTTTTGGTTACTTCAATTGTATATATAAAAACCTGAAAAATGTTTTTAGTTTGACATCCTACATGTGCAAAATTTGATAAGGCTTAGTAACCTACGGCGGCAAGCAGAAAACGAGTACAAAGTTTGTAACTAAAAGAGATAATTGTTTGCTATAGTTCATTTACTGTTCTATGTTTTAAGAAAAATAAGTAAGAACTGATTTGTAAATAGTAATAATGTATATACATATATAATGTATTATAACCAAAAGATTTAAGCTATTTAGACTAAACATTTGTATTTTTGTGTTATAATTTGTAGTCGTTCTAGAATGAAAAAGTATAATTTATATTTATTTCCTAATTTTTTATGGTGGTTATGAGGTTGGTCAAATTGACATCCATTATAGTTAGGGTAGAGAAAATAATAGAACAGATATATAGTTTTACTGAAAACAAATGTTTGAAATGTATTTAGGAGGTTCTAGAGATTACTCAAATGATATTTGAGATTTTCACAAACACTAGTGAGTTACATTTTGTTGAATTTAAAAAAAAAGCCAAGAATGAATCGGTTACATGGTTTGTGTATGGTTTATACATGGTTTATGAATCTGTATTTTTATTGACATAGTTCTAACACCATCCTAACTACAATTATACCAATTATTGGTATTAAAAAGGGTTTATCTCAACAAAATGGCAAAATTTCATTGATTTTGTGCAAACTAATAGATGGGATGCAAGATTTTTTGGATATGCATTTTAATAAGCATGGACCAAAAAACTAGCACATCCACTACAGTCAAGTTATAGCATCTACATTTTGTATGAATTGAAACAGCAACTTACAGACTACTAATGCTTGAATTTAAATTACAAATATTTTCACTGAGCATTGAACTTGTTGCAGCCATATTAATTAATATATGTTTTAGTGCTGCATCTTTTATATTTTCTTTATATTTTACCTAAAAAGATAAGAAAAAATATTGCAGTCATATAACTTGGTTATATGATGGAAATCTTGCCAGTTGAGGTGGTTACACTAGCCGGATTATTTTTAGACTTTTCTAATCCTGGCCAATTTGAGTTACAAATCCAAGTTTTTAAGAATGAAAACAGACAACCATAATAAATATTGTAAACAAAATTGCTGAACTTATTTTGAGTGAAAAAACTACTGTATATTGTCAATTGGGAAACATTGTATGGTGAATATTTTCTCACACATTATAGAAACTGCTTTAAAACAGAACACTGTAAAAAAAATACTTTGATAACAATCTGATAAAATATTACTAATATATATTGGTAGAAATGAAATATATATGAAAAAACTGCTTAGTTATTTGTATCATAATGTTTTTTGTGTGAAAACTCAAACTTGTGTCAACATGAATATTTGAAAATAGGGATTAGCATTTTCAGAAATTGGTTATAGCATTATAATGTATAAATGCCACAGTCCGCAACTATGTTTGTTATGATGCTGAAGGTGTAATTTTGTCACCCAGAAGTCGTAAGTCTTTTGATACTGTTGATATTTACTACTGGAAATGTGGTTAGTCTTTACAAGTTATTAACAGTAAATCTACTATGCAGGTGGTCCTAGTTTTGGAGATCGGGGAAGATCAAGTTTTGGGTAAGTTTAATTTTTTTGTAATAAACAGTTTTCAAACACTTAATAACTACAATTTGAATTAGTTTGAAGAACATTATAATGGTAGTGTGCATTTATCATTGAAAAATTTTTAGTTATAAAATCTATCATTAATAGTAAAGGCATTTTATATGAGTCAATTTGTGTAAATTAATCCATGATCTTAAATATGATGAAAAAATAACTTGTAAAACACTGTTCATAATTGCTCAGCCATCTCACTCAAACCTAGTGCATGTGTGCGAGTCCTGAATCCTGTAGTTTTAAGACTACTCATGATATCCATGAATGAAATATTTAGATAGGAAGGGCAAAATTAAATGCTTGTACATCAGTTTCCTTATTTTTTTAAAGTATTTCTGCAAGCAATTGTCCAGGAATGTTATAGTGCCAATAAAGTCATAATTTTGTTTCTCTTTTCCTCATCACTTTGAAAGCATGCTAAAATAGATTGAAAGTAGTGACAGTTGAAACAATGGGTAAAATGTAAGAGTTGGTTCTTAACAATAACAGCATATGAAGGCATTAATGTCAAAACTCTTCTATTTTATGTGACTTAACAGTGCATACAGACACAAGTCACATATTAGAAGGGTTGTTTAACGGTGATGTTTTTAATTTTTTGACCTCATTATTAAGTTAGTCACATCAACTTGCATTACATTTTCATAATAGTTATAAACCCTGTTGTACTTCCTATTGTCATTTCAGCTGACCGGACTACATTTAAAAACCTAAATCATGGAGATAAACTTCATTAAAGTACATTTAGTTTAATTTTTACATTACTTATATTAAAGCATTTAGATATGTGTTAAATTTATTTCATTGGTGTGTGTCCATTTGTGTTTATTTTAGTATGCACATAAAAATATTTATAACACCAGTTTGAAGACTTGGGAAACAATTTCATTGCAATTAAGTTATGCTACATATTTAGAAATTTAAATGAGTGGAATTACACCATTATACGAATGCATCAGTATCAACAAAACATAGTTAAAAGTAAAATTTTGTTATTGTATAATAGAACTGGTCTACTTGACCTGTAGCTAGATTTGATCTAATAGCAATTTGAAGAAATGATGTATAAAGAACTGGGAATATTACCCCTTAAATTATCGACTTGTTTTTATACCGTTCACTACAGGTGAGGTCCACATATTGCTTCATATTGAGTAATTTTGTTTTTGCCTGTTGCAATACTTAGTGTAAAGACCTGACCAAAAAAACTGGTAATAATTAATTTCATATGTAAAATACTTAGGGAATACCAACAGTAATTAGTGGTAGTAATTGCTATATTGGTGGTATTTTTATTTAAACTTTTTATGTAACTTGTGTTATTAGGGGCACTAACCAACAAAGTTCTGAACATACAAATAATTCTGTGTATAGTTTTAAAAACATTTTCAGACAGCTGACAAATTTTATTGGTAATTTTAATGTTAGATACTTTATCATACCCTTATTCAGTAAGCTATAGAAGTAGGTTATACAAGTTATAATTTGTACATTTGAGAGAGATTTTTTACAGTTGTTTTTTAGCACTTAGATGCTATGAATATGGAATGGTTTATGAGGAAGCTAAAATACTATGATTTACATGAGGCTATTACTTGATTTTGTTTATTTTAAGTCTTTTCTTTTTCTTCTTCCTCCAAAAATCAAAGATTTGTAACACAGAAAATAGGCATTTTTTAGATTCACATGTATTTTGTAAATAAAACATGAAAAATAGCCTTGAAAGCATTTTCTACTAATTTGTGAACATTGACAGGTATGAGATATTTATCACAGTTTAATTATCTAACACTAAGAGTATTTCCCATTATGGAGATTTGGTTGTATTCATCATATCCTGGATAAAACATTTAATTGAATCACAGAAGTTAATATTTTGATACTGTATCTAAAATAGAGCAGTTAAAAACATTGAAAATATCTCAAAAAATAAGTGAATAGAATTAAATTTCAAAGCTTAAATGAATTGCAAATTGTTAGGCATTTTTTACTGGATAGTTAATGATCTGTGTTGTAGAAATGTAAAGTTTCTAGATAGATGAGCACTGAATTAAGTTTTTGTTTTACAACTGATATGACAAAGCAGTATATTCTAAATGATTAAAGGCTTATTAAAAATGCTGATGAACTAATTGCTGAAATTCTGACGTATTGTACTGAAAAACCTTGTTACTCTGGGTCTGTTTTCAAAGAACAAGAGAAAGGAACAGTTTACAAGTTGTTGTATTACCAAACACTTGAAATGTTCTGAATTATGAACAGGAATTATTCTAATATAATTAGCTATGAAATTAAGGTTTATTTTGTAATAGATAATAATAGGAACATAATTGTTTATTTCAAAGTTTGTTTTATGAAATACCCATGACTGACTAGATTTTGTACTGGAAATGTGAAATCTTCTAACATAGGCAGCTTGTATTTCAGTTAGAATGGTAAAAAACTTCATTTGATATGGTTAGTCATTTTAACAAATGACTTAATGTAAGTAGACTGCCATTGGGATTTTTTTTTATTAAACGGAAACAATTGGATTGTACATGTATGCAGTTGAGTGCGTTTTATATCAGTATTGGAAATTGTAATAGATGAATAATGTGACTTAATGTAGCAAACTATAAACTAGTTAGGGTTTTCGTATACACCACTACAAGAAAAAAACTTGGTTGTTAATGAACATGAGTTTTTTACGGACTATTGAAACTAGATGTGTTGTTACAAGAAGTTGAATGTGTCTTAAACTAATGGAACTAAGTTGTATTTTATTTTTGACACATTTGGAAAAAAAAACGTTAGGTATTTAAGTGTGTGTGCCTTACCAGTAACTTGAAACTGGTTATCTACCAAAAGTGTACCAATATTAGCAGTAGATGTTGGAGTTTTTTTATATATATATAATAGAAGAGAAGGAGCTTGATTGTAACTGGTTGTGTTTGTTTTAGAAGTAACTTATGACTGCCTATTGTAGGGTTTTTGAAGAGCCTAAATATTAGCAAGCTGCCATTAACCCTTTGCCAATGGCATGCTGCAGCTTGTAGCAATTAATGTTGCTTTCATTATATTTCATTCCAAAAATAAGACTAGTGATTGAAATTGTTTTAAATTTGACAAGAACTTTCCTGAAAACATGTAGTTTCAAGTTTCAGAAAAATAAAATATTTAGTTTTGATTTTTACAATTTTTAATATAAACAAAGATTCGTTACTTATTGTCGTTACTTGTACTTGGACTCTGAATAGTCCATCGGCAAGGTGATTTTTATATGAATTATAAAAACGCTATTTGTTATTTTAGTTTTCACATTTTATTTGCATAATTAGAACCTATTAAATGAATTTAAAAGTTTCTTATTTTCTACTTTCTCTACTATATCAACAACTCTACCTATTATCGTCAATGTACAGTGCAGTGAAATGTTTAAAATTAAGAAATGGAAATATGTACGTACCTTTTAGCTCTTCATAGAAGTATTTTGAAACTTGTTAATTTCACGCCTATCTTTTCACATATAATTTATTTTTAATTTTCCTTTCCAATTCTTTGTCTTTTATTATTTATGCCAATACGTCTGTGGATTATTGGTGACCCTTGTACAGACACTCGTTTCACTAATGCTTTGAACACAAATGATGCCATCTTGTTTATACACTTCCATAATCCAGGCCACAACAAGTTAAACTTATAAAAGTCATTAAGTCTTTCAAATATGATTTTTGAAGCGTAGATAATACATAATTAACTAAAATATAAAAGTAAGACCTATTTAAGTGTTATAGTTGATCAGGCAGACAATAATACTAATGGCAGTTACATGTACACCATGAGAAGAACTGTGCACCAATTTCAAATTAATTGGTGGTAGAGTATAGTGTAAACTGAGCACTTTCTAACAACTGTATACACTTGTGTCAACTAACCACATGTATGTTGTAGATCTCAAGGCAAAGTATAGAATATGGGCGTAGCACCTGTCAAGGGTTTGAAAATTTACATCTGTTGATCAGTGAATACAGTTCTAAGAATTTGTATCTTGCGTGTCGAAAGGGCATGCAGACCTACATTAGGGTCTGGACATTCATGTACATCACATGTGTATGTGTTTATACTCAGCTCTTGCTAAAGTGGAGATTTTTCATAGTGCGTGGATTATGTGCCACGAAAACTGCAGGTTAATTGTTTTAATGTTTCCTTTGACAAAAAGAAATTAAAACTTAGATAACATAACAATTCAAATTATACATTATAATGTTAATTTCATTGACATGTGTATTGATAGTAAAGTGGTTTAATTAAGTTTTGAATGTAATGTAGTACCAATGCAGAAAGAAATTTAAAAATGGCACCAGGAGGCTATAGGATTAAGTCTTCAGGGCTTGCTTTAGAACAGAAAGAAGAAAAAACTGAACTGTATATGGCTGCACATGTTTCTTTTGAATGGATAAAAATATCACCTTCTAGGAAATGAAGTCACAATAACTAGTTTATGGCTTCCCCACTTCATTGAAACTAAGCAGGTATCTGCTTGAAATAAAATATAAATTTAATTAGAAAAAAGACTGCATAGGTGAACCATTTCTGCTATACAGGTTAGTTACAGCTGTTTAATGCATTTAACTACTGTTACCGCTAGCAATAGTTCATACAGAAAAAGTAGCTTTGAGTTTGTTATGATATAGTTATCCAATGCAACAAATAAGTAATAGTTGCTTGTAAGCTGCTGTTACTTGAGTTAGAAGGGTCATTAGTTGGCACTGATGATGTCAGTACTTATTTTACATAGTTTGATTAAATCACACAAATTTTAAGAGTTTGTAAGGTGTTGAGATGTGTTTTCAATAGACAAGTTCCACCTTTGAAGGGTTTTTAGTGTGTTATTGAACTTTTGAGTAATTATGAAAAAATTGAGTTTTTTTATGTATATGTATGTGAAAAGGTAATTGGATGTCTGATGAAGGATATTACACTATACCATTACCTTTGCATTAAAATTATTGTAATATATCTAGAATAATATTAGAAGATTAATTTTACATCTGCTAAGCTACAAAATTTGAAGATATGTTTAGTCAAATATGTTGGTGGTGTTAATAGTTTTGTTGTAGATTATTCCAGAGTAATCATTTAGAAATATGTTTAACGTCTCATTTAAACTTGGTTGACAAGAATAAGATATTACTATACAAATATCTTGCTATAAAATAGGTGTAGCTACTGTTTGATGTTTCTAGGGTTGAAAGTGCTATTAACTTCTATATTGATTGTCTGGATTATATAGTGAAACACTCACTTTTTAAAAAAGTATGAATATTAAATAAAATATTTTATGTAAGTTATTTCACTTGATAATAAACTGACATAAGATTATGTATTGTTGAAATATGTGGACCATCAACTTGAGAGTCTGAATGGGTAAAAGGAAGCAAGAGAAATGATCATATAATGTGTATATGAAACAAAGAATAGTTGTTTTTAAGCATTGATCTACCAAGAAGACACGATTCATAGCCTATTTAATTCTCTGAGTTGTTAATTGGCTTAAATGCAATTGAACATGCAGACAGAAATTTAATAAGATATTTAAAAACAGTACTCAATATTTGTTTTTTTTCTTTTCCCCTCCATTTAAAACAGGAAATATTTGAGAAAACTTTAGTTTGTGAAATTTTTGGTTTAGTGAGCAAATGTTAAATAAACTTAGCTTTGAATAACTGGCAGGGGTAATCCTTTTAAATATTCATTAAAATTCCATACATCTATAGTAGACCTAAAATTGGTTAGTTTTTAGTAACAATTGGATCTTCATTGAATTGTATTTTAAGCAGTAACGTGTATAATTGCTTTAACTACATATTGCTTGCTTATTCTTTGTGCACTAACTGCTTGAGTAGCAGCAATGAAGTGTACTAGTATAAAATAGCTCTGTATTTCTATTATAAGTGGGATACTTGCTTCTGTGAGTGAAAATATTAAAATTAAAAATTTGTAATCAGTCTTTGATGCCAGTATAAATGTTACTTTTAATAAACTTTAGATTGTAGTTTTTAAACAATCTGTACATACACTTAAGAAACCAGTATATTATATGAGTAATTGAAACATTTTTTGATAGGATGAGAGTTTTTCGTTTGAACAAGCTGTAGCTCTTAAACGTTATGTTTTAGTATTTTTTTTTTAACAGGTGTAATCCAAATTGCAGAAGAACCAGTGGTTTTTATAGAAACATATGTTATAGAAAGTAACTGAATAAGTATTTAGAAACTTTTATGTAAATATGCCAGACAGCTCCTGTGTATATACCAGAATGGATGTAGTGCTTATAAAGTAAGCAAGACATCCTTGTAGTTTTTAAGTAAATAGCACAAAACTGTTTGGATAGATTTAACAAATTCCCACTGGTTCCATTGCTAATTGGACTAAAGTTAGACATAATAGTGTTTTGAAGTTTTCCAAGATGAAGAGTTCTCACTGAAATTTCTGTGCTTCGATTGTAGTAACCAAGGGCCTGGTGGAAGGGGAGGTTTCAACAAAGGTAAAGCATTGCAAAAGTGATGCTCAGTTTTTATATAATGTTGACAGTTAAATAAAAAGCTAATTTTGAACATTTTTATAGGGTGGTGGCTGTTATTTACAAAGTATATAATATTTTCTGTGTGATCGTTGTCATTTAACACATGTTTGACATTTGTGAGAGGTAAGTTTGAGAAAGTCTTGGATACAAAGAAACTTGAGTTGAAGAAAAAAGATGCTTTCCAAACACAACAAAAAGTGCTTATGGCAAAAATATTACCCGACGGCTGTCATAAATTAAATCCAACAGATGTTAAATATTATTTTTTGAAAAATTGTGCTGCTTCGTGCATGGCTGAGTGGTTTCATATGTACTGTAGCTTGCAATTGCTAATGTGTGAAATAGAAATAACTTAAATAATTCAAAATAGATTAGACTATTTCCTCAGATGGGTTGAATTTTGATTGGGAGTATTTCATAAATGAATGAATGTGTAGTTTATGTTGATTGTAAATGTAGTCAACTTTTGAAGCAATTACTTAATTATGCATGTTAATGACAAAAATTCTATTTTCATTGTTTTGTTTAATATTATTCATCTTAAACATTAAAGTCAAACTTTGTTGACTAGTGATTTTTAGTTTTTGATATAGAATACAGCTAGTTGCAGATTTTATTGGAAGTTAGCAGATATATTTTGAAAGACCTTGTTTTTTTGTACGTTTAAAGTAATAACTAATTTTTAAGCTTGGTTATTAGGCTACTCAGCGAGTTGAAAAAGTGTTTAATAATAATGATTTTAAGGTGAGTTATCATACCAGCAAACATTTGTCTGTAATTTTATGGTAGTGAAATAACACTTTTTATATAGAATAATGTATGAGAAGGTAAGATTGTGTTCTATAATTGTAAATATAGTATTTGTAAGTTCTTCAGATACAGGTCAAGATTGTTCATTGGTTTTATCAAAAAAGTTTCTATATAAAACATAACATTGATGAAATACCTCGGTATATTACTATAAAAGTTTACTTATGACTGTAGCAGAAAATATACTACAAATTTGTCTCATGAACTTGTAGGAGAATTAATGTATTTTTAATGCATCATTTCAGTTTTCAAAATTTTTTGTAATTATTCAAAACTGTGTATTTTGTATAGACATTTTTCTTCTTGAACAAAAAACCACAGCAAGGAAAAATGACTCGTAAGAAAAGAAAGAATTTTAGCAAAGTACAGAATCAAAAATATTTGGTCTAAACACTGCAAGATTTCTTTTAAGCAAAACTGAATATTAAATAAATTTTCTAGATCTTGGAACACTTTAAAAAGCTCCTTTAAATGTTCTTAAGAGAAACTTTTGTACAGTATTATTTGCAAGTGCTACTGAAAATTAGTTGTAACATAGTCCATTTTTGTGAATTTAGCAATAATGAGGATTTGGTTTGAATTGGATCCTGGAGTTGTAAAAAATTCTAGAACAGTTCTAGGAGCACGCAAGTAAAACATGACTGATGTTCTTTAGAAAAATGTCAAATTCAAGAATAAGCATAAGAGTATATTGAAAGTAAATTGCTTAAAACCTGGTTTTTTTCTTTAAAAAATTGTTTGAGTGATTATGAGCACAGTTAAACATAAAACACTAGATAAATACAGTTCTATTGACTATTAATTTAAGTACTCAAATATAATGAAAGTAAAGCACGCATGAACCATGGGTTTGACTAGAAAAGGGATTAGTATTAAACAGTTTTAGAATAAGCATATGAGTGTATTGGAGGTAAGAACCCTGTTAAGTGATGTTTTTGTCTATGAAAATACACTGGTGTTAATCCTAAGATAAATATGTGAGCTCAGTAGATGTAAAACTTCTGAACCATGACTTTCAATAAAAGACTGTATATTAACTACTTCAGGTATAAGAAGAGTACAATAAATATAAAACATGGTGTTGTCAATAAGAATGAGAACAGATATTTTTGTCATTTCAACAGATCAGAGATCAGCCCCACCACCTCTTGAGCCATTGAGTTTTAGTAATTTCCTCCCTCCCAAAAAATATAAGAAATAGTATTCTGCATATATTGCAAAAGGACTGTTGTAAAAGCAAACATTTTTTATTTCAGGAGTGTAGTTAAATATTTTACCTTGGTGGTAAAGTTGGCATAGTTACTGCCCCTTTTTCATTGTTGAACAGATAAAATAGAAAAAGCAGAGGTGTCTAAAGGTGTATATGATAATATAAAAAAATACCTCTGTTTGTTACGAAAGTGTTAATTATGAGTACAAAGTAATACATAAGGATGTACAGAAGACTGTTTATGCTTGCACATCATATCAATGAGGAAGGTATACCTTAACATCCTTTGAAGCCAGTGTGTGATTGTAACATTTCTGTAACTACGTGGAATGTTGCTCATACTTGTTCTCATTTTTATTTATTCAAAAGCAGAAATTATCTTCAAAAATCTAAAAACTTTGTAAAAGGTTCATTGATTATAATTTATCTCAAAAGTGCTTGCATATCAAATAATGAAAAAACTTTAGAGATATTTGATTTTCTTTCTGCAGAAACACAAAGTCATTTTCATTTTATTGATAACAGGCTGATAAGGGTTAGTGATTGACAGATGATACAAATCAAATGGAAGACTAAGTGGCATCATTTATAGTTGTTAGTTTCATGGAAGAAACTTTTATCAGAGCTGTATTATGATATATCCTCATGTTTCAGCAACCAGTGTAGACCCAGGCAAGTCAGTACAGTTTGACCAGAGCATAAACTGTTTGTTGAAAGCATTAACAAAAATGTAGATCCAGAAATTGTACCTGATTAAACACTGTTAACTCAAAGATAAACAAGGGAGTCCTTTATATAAAAATGATCTTCTTATACAAGGAACATTAATTGATGACACTTAACAGATACCAGATTTCCCCGAATCCATAAATAAACAACGATATTTTATTTAGATTTTCCTTTACTTGGCTTTAGCCTCAATGTTTTCATGAACAAAATATTAGTTTGTCAAGAAATTAATGTTGCTTTTCTTTTGATGAAAAACCCGAACAACTTGTATATCAAAACATTTGTAAGTACATTGAAGTAGTCTCCATTTTTATTGATGATGCTTTTCCATCTTACAATCAGATTGTTAATGCCCTGATTATAGAAATCATTTGGCTTTGAAGCAAAAAACATGTTGATGTCCTCTTTAACATCTTTCACATTTGCATACATTTTCCCATTAAGATGGAGTTGCAGCAAATGAAAAAGATGGTAATCTGATGGTGCCATATCTGGAGAATATAGT